CCTATTCAGCCCAAACTCGTTGTTTCTCTGACACTACCTAATTTGAAACAATCAATGCTCTGATCCACATTCAGATCAATCTACTTCAAATACAATGGTTTATTTTCACAGGTTGCTGGGCTGCTACCCACTGTCAATCAACAGATTGGCAGCCAAAAGCCATAGTCCCCATCCTGTTCATTTGCTCACCTCTCCCTCCATACTGCTGATCCTCACGAGCTCGTTGAGGATCAATAAGGCACCATGGATTCGGTCATCACGGTTCATTCCTTTCTCCTTGGCCAAAGTTTCATCAAAACCCTTCTCAGCCTCTTCATATGTATGCTTGGGGGAAAAAAAAAATATTAAAATCTCAATGATCATAACAGAGGCAAAACCAGTAGAAAAACTGTAATTAATACTGCTAGCTAAGAATCATCCACAAGTTGTAGAATCTGCTGCAGAATATTTTCAACAGCATTAATCAAACAGCCAGTCAGCCATGCCATGGTATAAACTTCATCACTAGCTTCATCACATTTTTGACCACAAGGAAGCAGAGTTCACAATATTCAGCTGCACTGTCCAAGTTCTGTTTGATACTAGGAAGCCTTAAGCCATGTAACAATGGCAGCAAAGCTGAATTTCAAATAAAGCTTAACTCTTCTAAAACAGCTGTTTCAAAATAAAGTTATTTTCTTACTCTGTACCACTGAGGTTTCTGCATTTCTTTTGGTTCCCGCTGAGTAGTGAGGATAAGGCAGGCTCTTAAGGCAGAAACGGCTCCCTCTCGAATGGCCTGTTTGGGATCCCACACAGCCACAAAAATATTGTCAAAGAACGGCTGCACTTGCTGGAAGAAGAAGGTAGGCACACTGATTGCCAGCTCACGCAGTACAAGAACCTGGAGGTGGGGAAAGAAACAGTAAGTCTGTGAAAATGAGCACCCATACACAAACCTCAATTTTTAGAATGCAGTATCATTTATTTAGACTGTTAGTGTCTGTGAGCCTGAGCTGTAACCAGTTCTGTCCACTTTTACAGATGATAGCATAATGGTGTCTCAACCTTGTTTAGTCATGAGGAATTCATAAGGCAGAAGTGAGGAAACAATGCATCTGCTATGACAGGATCACAGATCCTTACAATTGCGCTAGCAGAGCTTTTTCCCAGCTTTCTGAGAACTTCTCCTACCATTAAACCTAACCACCCCATTCCAAGACAGGTGAAGTCAGAAAAAAAAAAAAAAAAAGATCACTTACAGCTGCATGTCTTCGACCTTCATTCCTGTCAGCCCCCAGCCATTCCAGAGCACGTTTCACCTCAAACTCCACATACTCGGCTGTGAAGGTGTCACCAGCCATTGCAAGCCGCCCAATAGCCTTGGAAGCCATTTCCATTACAACTGGGTCATTGGATGGCAAAAGGTTCCTCAGATAGTTTGCAAACCTGCCGATACGGGTGGCGTTACCTCCTTCAACACCAATAAGGCTTGCTGTAGAGAAAAGGAGCAGTGCTGTAGGTTCTCCCTAAGGATCGGTGGAGCAGACAGCAGCTAATCCCTAATTGAAAGTATTCCCTATCCATTCCTTAAAGATTCCCATTAACTTTTCCTAAACTGCAAATCCACTGGAAAAAAACAAAGAAAGAAACAAACAGTAGGAGAGGGTCACCATTCTTCTAAACCTGAACTTGTTAAATGGACAGGAAAACGCATCAAATAGCCTCATAGATTTTCCCCATTTTTAGTCTAAAAAACAGAAAAAAAAATCCACCCTAGGATCACAGACCCATTCCTAATAGGAAGGCATCTATCCACATGCAACTGCTATAGCTGGTCTGCCTCAGCAGAGAAGTGAAAGACAGAACAGACCATGGAGATTGCTCTCCTAAATCAGCCCTAGAGGTGGGCTCTCAAGGCTATAGGGGTGGATGCATGTTGGCAGGGCAGTGTGGTGGGAGCTTGTGCTGCCAGTGCCTGGGTTGTATCTGCTCTGTAGATACAGAGGCCATCAGTATTCGGGGCTGTCCAGCCAGCACCTTTCAACAGCACTAAAGTCACAGAAACAACTTTAAAGCAATACTGTCAGTTTAAGAGTCAGATGTTATTAACAATGATTTCTCTAGCTATGAGGCTTCCACTGTCTTCAAACTTGTTGGGATTGGATGATTATGCCTGTGAAGCTAACTGATAGGCAACTCCTACTTGGTTGCTAAAGAAATAATTCTGCAATACAAGCTATTCATTCAGAAAGCTGAGTATTTATACAAGCTGATTTTCTTAACAATTAAAACACAGGCAGCTCTGCCACATCACAGCACAACCAGAGCTACTGATGGAGAACCTGATCAGAATTAAGGCAAAAGTTACATGAGCCTCTCCCTTGGATGGAAGATGCTATTACTCTGCCAGGCAAATGTAAACACAATAATCTCCTCAGACAGAAAAGAGTTCAGAAGTCAGCCCTCCAGGATGCATATAAAACAGTATCACAGAATCACTTGGGCTGGAAGAGACCTCAAAGATCGTCTAGTTCCAACTCCCCTGCCTCAGTAGGGCTGCCATCCTCTAAATCAGGCACTAAACAGAGAGCACAAATTGTTCTCAGTTGAGCTCAGGAACAGAATTTTCATGTGCTCAGCACTCATTCATGTTTGATGTTTGACTCCCAGAAGAGCTCACCGCCCATTAAGCACCAGGTTTTCAGCCACTCTCAGCACTCAGCAGCTCCCATGCTAACACTAACAGGCAGATTTTCTGAGCCCAGCAGCTAGCACACACCCAGCGTATTGAGCAGTTGGACACAAGGCTCTGACTGCAGAAGTTCATTCATTTGGAAAATCTGTCCCAACTGAACAAGTACATGAAGAGAAAACTCAAAGGCATAAAGCACTTTTACTCACCTATAGCCAAAATGCCACCCTTCCTTTCATTTGCATCAGAGCTAGAGACCAGTTCAAAAATGTGATGGTTCAGCTGATCATAAAACCTGGTGGACTCCTCCTGGCTCATCTATAACAGGAAAAGATTCATAAAGGCTCTCAGCATTCTCTCTTCTCTTGCTACTTCCAAAACCTCCATAGAGACAATGCTCCTTAAGTTACATTAATAGAAAGAACCATACATTATAAACACTTTCTCTTCTTTACGCCCTTGACCTGTTGAGTTTATTAATCCTGGTGCTTGACTATCCATCGCTCACCTCTCCTCTCCTACATGCTTGGGCAAAGGTAAGCTCCATATTATGCCCCACCTCCTCACTAATAACAGTTTCCATGTTTTCCAAAAACATCCATCCCCAGAGTACCCAGCTAGTGCCCTACACTCATTTAACAGACAGATAATACATTTTTTGCAGCACTCACTTCACGGAGCTCCATGGTGACATAATGCTGCAGGTCCTTGGCAGCTTTCGCCCTTGTTTCTTCACTGCGACTCTTCAAGCCATTGGCAAATTGTTGGAGAATAGACACAGTGCCTGACATGGTGCTGTTATGCTGAGGTTTGGGGCATCAATTCCTGTAAGTTCTTCAGAGACACAGGATTTTTAGTACTTTCAATTACTGAAATCTCTGAGCTTAACTCTGTCCCTACTGCCTTTTTCCAACATATATCCCACTGCATGCAAGGATGCTGTGCCAGACAGTATAAATAATACAGCTAACCAGTACCTTCCCCCAGGCATTACAGTCCCGTGATAAAACCACATCACTACATCACACTGTGCTGTCTCCCACAGCCCATTTCCTCCCTGGTTCCTCCAACAGCAAAACACACTCCGGTAGGTCAGGTGCACCCATGCTGCTCTAACTGCAAGACGCGCGACAGCCAAAAAGACACACAGTAAGATGAAGTTCTGCAGTCACCCTATAATGAGGCACAGTCCTTCCCATGAATGTGCCATTATGGCATCTGATTCCTCTGTGAGCATTTTCACCCAAGTTTCTCCACAGAAATCCCCGTGTTCTAACAACTCTTGGGGCCTGGCAAGCATTACATTCCTCAGGAGATATTTAGAGATGAGATGTCCACTTATAGCAACAGCAGTCACTGCAGGGGGATGTTTGCTATTGTAACATGCATCAGAACCTCCTCGCAAGTGCTTTTTTTTTTTTTTCTTTTGTAAAGAATATTTTAAACGTTTCAAAACATCACATCGCATAAACCCAAGCTGGCCACTTGACAGAAGAGGCCACAGCACCACAACGCACCAAAACTTCAATTTCACCCCCCCCAGTATCCCCCACACAGCCACAAATCCCACGGAGAACACCGCGCGGGGCGACCTCGGGGCTCCTCACGACGAGGGGAGCCGCCTGAAGGAGCCTCATCCCCGCTGAGGGGGCGGCAGGCCCGAACCCCACAAGCCGGGAGCGCGGGAAGGCTGAGGGAGCGCGACGCGCGGGAACGGGGCCTCCGCCGTGGGGCTGAGGGAGGCCGGACCGCTGACAGGGCGCGAGGCGCCGGCCTGGCGGGCTGTGAGGCGGGAGGGCTGTGAGGCGGGAGGGCCGCGATGGCGGGGCCGCGCAGATGAGCGAGGAGTTACGGGATGCTGAAGGGAGGCTCACGAGCAACGCTCACTCACCACCTCCACCCCAAACGCCGCCAACGCCACCGCCGGCTCCCCCGCTCTGGGCCCCGGCGGCCTCCCCCGCGCCTACCGGACCGGCGAGACGCTATCGGCCAATAGGCTCCCAGAAAAGGTTTGATAGGTACTGCATTTGGCCAATAGAAACAGAGGAAAAGGGAAGGGGCGCTCCTAGCCCCGCCCCTCCTCCTGAAGAGCCGCAAGAAGAGTGACCGTCACCGCGCTGCCAATCAGTAGGCGAACTGCGAGTGACTGGCAGCACGCTCTACCAATAGAAAGCTAGGTTCGCCCGGCTGGTGACAAGCCTGGGCTAGGCCCGCCTTCCAGACGCCGGCAGCCCTCCGCCCTCCACGGGAGCCCGTGCGCGTTGTACGCATGCGCAAAGACTGAGGCGCAGGGCCGCGCCCGGTGCGTATGCGAAATGAGTCCGTGTGGGGCCGAGGGCGGGCGCGGCGGAGCGGTTCTCAGCAAACGCAATGGCGCTTAGAGCGGGACTGGGAGGCGCCTCAGAGCCATCCCTGGTGGCCGTGCGGCATTTCATACTTCCATCAGACCCCGGCGGAGCGTTACAAATTTCCGTTGGGCCGCGCGGTAGCGGAACCCTCCGCGCGGGGCTGAGGGGCGGGGGGGGGCGGTGCGGGCGGTGCGCATCACCTCGGGCGCCGCGCGGGGCTCCCCTCAGGCGTGGCCATGGCGGCGGTGCGTCCCGCCCGCCCCTCCGGGCCCTGACGCGCGGCCCTTTTCCTTGCAGGTGCTGCGAGAGCATGGGGCCGGCGGAGCCGGTGCAGAAGATCAGCATTAACGCCGAGAGCCCTCGCGGCGGCGAGAGGAACGGCTGCGGGGCGGGGGCTGAGCGCAGCCCCGCCGGCGGCTGGAGGCAGAAATGCGCGGCCTACGTGCTGGCGCTGCGGCCCTGGAGCTTCAGCGCCTCCCTCACCCCCGTGGCTCTGGGCAGCGCGTTGGCCTACCGGGCCGAAGGAGCGCTGGACCCGCGGCTGCTGGTGGGCAGCGCCGTGGCCGTGCTGGCCGTGCACGGGGCCGGCAACCTGGTGAACACCTACTACGATTTCTCCAAAGGCATTGATCACAAAAAGAGCGATGACAGGACGTTGGTGGACCAGATCTTGGAGCCTCAGGACGTGGTCCGGTTCGGGGTGTTCCTGTACACTGTGGGCTGCGTCTGTGCCGCTGGGCTCTATGCCGTCTCGACGCTGAAGCTGGAGCACCTGGCCCTGGTTTACTTCGGGGGGCTGTCCAGCTCCTTCCTCTATACTGGAGGTAAGCACCGGGCCCCGTTTGCTTTCAGTCTGAATGGGATAGTGAGCTGACTTGTCAGAGGAGATCCAAGTGATCTAATAGGCTGCCTGGAAAATATTTGGTGGTATTCCCTGGAGTGCTGGTACATAGCCTTGCCATTGATTGCTGTGGGGAGGTGTGAGAAGGGATGCATCAAGGTCAGCTGGAAAGTAGCATTGAGACATTGATACCGTAAGGCAGTTGATCAGAAAAGTCTCTAGGACTCAAGCTGGAGTGTTAGAAAGCAGGAGTTCTTTAATAGCAGCACTGAATGCATGGGGGTCATCCCCCTATCACCATGGCTTGCATGCTTACAAAAGATCTCTAGTTAATATACATCACTTGTGTTACATATGAGTTTTCCAAGAGGTATGTTATATATGCAGTACTTTCTTACATGTTACATATGCAAGTTTGTTACATATGCAAGTTTCGCAGAATTATGTATTCAGTGACCAAATTCAAGCAGGGGCTCCTATTTCTTTGGTACAAAGACTCGGTAAAACTTCCTTATCTCCTTGGTTCAGAGACACAGCTCTTCCTGTTATCTGAACAGGTCCACGTCCATTCATCAATCAACACTAGCAAATGTAACAACATCGTTGTAACTTGTATCAACATTGTTAGCTCTACAGAGTAGTGGCTGTAGGTGCTCCTCAGAACTGTTACTGAAGCTTTTTGTGGTGTGTATCTCATGTCTTCAACTGTATGGCTTGCTGCATGTGTCCTTTTCCATTGGTGGAATTTGTTATCTTTTGGAATGTTGTTATTCTTTACATGGAATTCCATTGAGAATGCAGAACAGTACGTGCTTGTTTTACTGAGACAGAGGGTGTTCTTAGTGTTGTTCTGGGTTGGGTTGGTACAACATGAGAGGCTGGAGAAATTTACAAGCTGCATTTTCTTTATTCTGCTTGGGAAAAAGAGAAAATATGCCTCAGCCATAGCTATGTACTTGTTGGCTGTTTTAGAGTATTTCTATGGGAAGGGCTGATCTGTTGTAATCTATTCTCTGTTGTCATTTAGTTGTTTGATGATGCTTCATTGTATTCTTGTGTTTTGCCACAGGAATTGGATTTAAATATGTTGCACTCGGAGATGTGGTGATCCTGATCACCTTTGGGCCCCTGGCCGTCATGTTTGCCCATGCTGTGCAGGTTGGTTATCTGTCTGTCTCACCGCTGCTCTACGCTGTCCCACTGGCTCTCAGCACTGAGGCCATCCTGCACAGCAACAACACGCGAGACATGGAGTCTGACCAGCAGGCAGGCATTGTCACCTTGGCTATCCTCATCGGCCCTGCGCTCTCCTATGTTCTCTACACCGTGCTGCTCTTCTTACCCTACTTGATTTTCTGTGTGTTGGCCACACGCTACACCATCAGCATGGCATTGCCACTGCTCACCATCCCGATGGCATTTTCACTGGAGAGGCAATTTCGGAGTCAAAACTTCAACAAAATTCCTCAGCGGACAGCCAAACTCAATCTCCTTTTGGGGCTCTTCTATGTTTTTGGAATTATGCTGGCACCAGCTGGTGCTCTGCCCAAACTGTAACAAGCTGTAGAGCCAGACCTCACAGTTCAGTATTAATGCCAATGAAGAGGGGGATTATGTGGGTAGCTGACCTGTTATGAACAGTGTGAAACACAGAGAGACTGTCCTGAGCTGTTGATTGTATGTGAGTGTTATGATTTCTGGTCTTGGTTAGCTTGCACATCAGGCTTTAGAGAAGCCATTTATCAGTTCCTTGGAATACCACTTCCTTGCAGCTTTGATTCTGGAGAAGCAATGTGACCTGAGGACAAGAGTTTAAAGAATGTCACCCATCTGCTGATGAATTCTGAGGGGCTTCCACTGTTAATGGAAGTAAGATTGAGTCTCATACAAACTGTCCCTTCACAAGTAGATTGATTGCTCTTACAACTCCTTACCACAGTCATATGGAGTTCAGTGGCTCCTACGTGGCAAATAGAAAGCACTGCCAAATGTTTAGCATCACAATGACATAGGTGCTATCACTTCACTCCCTTGAGAACGTGATTCATCAGTCGTATCTTTTAATTTTTATTGGTTTTCTTTTTCCTTTTGAGCTTTAATTTCCAAGCTCTATGAATGGTAGTAGGATACTGATTAATTCACTGCTGTCTCTGCCTCTGTGGTGTGTGGGTGCTAAAATGGAGCACAACTAGCCCACGGCACAAGCTTGAAGACAAAACCAGTAAATGTATTCTGCTGTGAAAGCTGAACCTGTAAATGCAAATCACACAAATGAATAGCCTTGAATGCGTAGAAAAACAAGTGGTTTCCCTTTCTACTTTTGCTTAAATTTAACTGTCTGAAAGGACAGCCATGTAGTTAAGGAGAAATGATGGACAGGGTGCCAAAATTCGTGGACCTGGATTGATATTTGAGTGGGAGAACAAGCTTTCAGTTGAAAAAATATGTTTTTTAATTGTCATTCTCTCTGTTTAGAAGCTTGAAGTACCATAGTCAAATGTCCTATTATAAGACCTAAAAGAAGTTCAAATAAGAAGCAAAGGAGAAAGACAAAGGGTTAGCAAAAATAAATGATTGTGTTGGCTCTATGTATAAATGAGAACTGGGGATGGGAAGAAACCATCTTTACTAACCAGATTTTTTCTAAGGCAGGCCAATTTGTGTGACTGAATCCCACTTAAATGTTAGGAGCTCTGAAGTGAGTTTCCCCACCTCTTCTCCTCCCTCTGCACCTTGCAGCGTTGTTTAATTTTCTTCTTTATATCTCACCTATTGATACTTTGACCATTTGGAGAACTATTTGTTTCAGTAAATGTGCAGCAGTATGAAAAGCAAACCATGCCAAACATCACTGGGACATAAACATAACTGTCACTTTCCATACAAAGATGAATTTTGTCCCTTTTTTTGTTACTTGGTGGCAGTTGAATTCTCTTTTTTTGAAGAAAAAGTATTTATTTCCTATACTTGGGGGTTTGCTGAGTTGTTTACCGGAGTTGTGAAGAGCTTCACAGCAATTCATCCTGGTGTTCCACTCTGTTAGTGCCTGGAGCACAGCCTTGCTTTTGAACCAAGGGGGGAGTGTGTTAATTACTGTATAAAGGACTTTTAAGCAATAAACTTAGCATGGTGTTGTCCTTCATTTGTTATAATTAAGTCATACATTCAAAAGTACTGAGTGTTGTATTAGTGGAATGTGCCACTGCCAGTGCTGAAGCTGTTAATGAGACAAGATTACATAGTACTGAGAGTTCAGTGACAAAACCTGATCTGACTGGGCACAAGACAAGAAGATAAGGACTTCAGCAACTGTCTGCTGCTTTATACAGCAAAATACTTGGCTAGATTAGAAACATGAGGAGAAAAGGGAAGAATTCAGCTTGGGCAGATGGAGGGAGATAGAAGTGTTTTGGTATTAAGTAGAGGTATACAACACAGTATCTGCTGTTGTTTCTTTGTGGACCTACAGAATAAAGAAGAGCTTGGCTCTGTGACCCGCATCACTTTTCTGCAGAATAAAAGCTTTCTCAGGGATGTGGACTGAGCTGGTGGATCTGCTAATTGTACACTGGGAGATAAGTGGGTGTATTAATCCCAACGTGGCTTTGTTGTTACCCTTTGTAGCAGCTGTGAGCTTCATTTTATGATATTTTACGTAGCTTTCAGTTTAAAAGAGTATTTCTCTTTTTCTACTCCTTCTGCACAGAGTTAATCAAGCTGAATTACTTATGGTGACTAAGACATGGCTTGTGTGTCTGATAGCTGTACTGGTGGAGAAAGAGCTGGGGAATAACTAGTAGTGAAGCAGTGTATGCAACTGTGGTTGTATTGGTGCCCTTCAGTCATGGGAAGAATCACTGCTTTCTATTCAAAGAGATGAAGGAAGAATTCACTCACACTTGTGTATGTTTGTGGAATTCTTTTCAAGGAGAGGAATCACAGAATCACAGGGGTTGGGAGGGACCTCCAGCAGTTTAGTGGTGAGGATTAGAGGAAAATCAGTCTGAAATGCTTTTGCTTCCTAACAGATACTGGTTGCATACGGTTCCCTGTCTGTGAAAGAATGTAATTTCACATTCTTGGGGTTACTGATAAGAGCTCCCACTTTCTTCACCATGGCTTTGAGGAAGTCATTTACCTACTTTGTGTATCAGGAAACAGCTAACTTTTGCCTACCTCACAGGGATGCTGAGCCAACATCGCTATCACAGCTTTGAAAGTAACAAGTGCTTTATCTCTGTGTGCTTTCCAAAAGCATGTTAGCATTAGAAAGCATTTTAGGTATGAACTAACCTAAAGGTTAACTGAACCAGTGCAAGCAGACCAAAATCACCTCCGAGCTGACACTGAGTGGTAAGAGAGGCTCCCTTGGTTTGTTTTGTGATGAGGATGCTGAGTCTTTCCCTGTCCCTCTCCTTCCTGTCCCCTGTGTCTTTACCTGAATATACATTTCTTAAACTTCTTACAGATCTCTCCTGAGCTGTGTTGCTGTGTGATGAGTCTGCATTGGTAGGTTAACTGATTCATGTGTCCTAAAGCACCTCCTGGCCTTTCTTACTCAATGAAATGACTGAATGTTCTACTGCGTTCAATTATTTTAGATCATTCTGTTTTTGCACATGTATTAGAGAATTCTCTGGGGAGGATGGGGTCTTTATCTGCAGTGGTTATAGTGTAAGGACATGAAAGCTCATACCTATTATTTCATGTTTGCTGAGTCTCCTTATGAGTTCAATAATCATGTCCTTCCACCTCATTGGATAAGAAGTTCAGTAGCAGTGGTCACCTCATATTAACAGCAGACTTCAGACAGGTGTTAGTGTTTCCATCAATAAGCAGAATTTCCTTTGATGCAGTTTTCTGTGCCACGTCCTGCTCAGCATCTGTAAGGAGCTTCCAGCTGAACTTTCTCAACATTTAATCTTTTTAATAAAGGTGGACTTTTTCATCCTCACCTGTGTGACCTGCTATCCTTCAGCATTGTGGTCTCGCAGTGGCTTTATTTTGCTCCATAGGCCTGTGGCAGAACAACGCCTCCCTTTTGGAAGAACCAGAAACAGACTTGATGGCTTCGCCTTCATTTTCCCTGTTGTGACAGTGAGCTTCTCGTGGTGGTGTTGCTGCTGCCTCCTTACCAGCACTGGTCCGAGGTAGTGGAGATAGCTGTGTTTGGAAGTTTTTGGCAGTCTATGCATTTTTTCTAGGGGGTTTGCAGATACATTACCACCAAGCTAGCACACTAGTGGTCAAACTCACTTTAAAGAAGCGTGCCCTCTAGTAGAAACTTCAACCACTGGGAATTGACGTAATGCTGAGCAGCTTTTTGCCCACGTCCTGCCTAGGAGGGGCTGTAATTCTGGCTGTCCGCAGATGGCAGCACCGCTCTGCTGCAGCACCGTGCGGGTGCTGTGCCCGACGTGCGGCGCTGACCGGAGCACCTCAGCCGTTACTTGGTGTATCTGTGCCGCGCCATTCTGAAAATCGCTCTTATTTCTTTATACCAGCAGATTTAGCGTATGTTTTTTCTTTTTGCTCATCAGCTCACAAAGCAGGAACCTCGCAGTGTCTATAAGCAATAAGGGATTGGTGGATCTTCCCTGCCAGTTCTTCCAGCGCTGGAACTCTAAATTCCGTATCCCAAATAACCCTGTTTTCAAGACCGCTGGATCCCAGAGCCGCATCTTGGGAAGCCGTTCACCAGGAGCTGCGGCAGTACGGTCGTACAAGCGGTTCTGAACAACCCGAGCCCAGAAACAGCCAAGCACCGAATTCCACTCCCACTTACAGCAAAGGCCGCGGAACGAAGGCGATGCGCGGACCCCGCCGACGCGCCCCCCGCTCCCCAGCGGCGTCCCGCAGCCGCTCCGTGCCGCGGGGCGGTGCTGGGCGGTCCGAGCCGCGCACAGCCCGTCCCCTTCCTGCTGAGCTCAGTTCCTGCGGAGCGCGGCGCTGTCACGAGCGCTGCCCGGCTCCGCTCCCTCCCGCCCGCCGGCAGGGCCCGGGCGCGGCCATGGCGCGCTGAGCGGCGGCGGCCCAAACCCCGCAGCCTGCGGGCCGGGCCGGGGCCGGGCCGGGCAGCCGGCAGCACGGAGCCGGCCGGCGGGGGGCGGCGGGGCGGGGAGCGGGCCCGGGGGGCGGCGCGGCACTCGGGCTCCGCCGGGCGGACCAGGCGGCGGAGGGCGGCCGGGCCGGGAGTGATGGAGCCGGCCGAGGTGAAGGACCGCATCCTGGAGAACATCTCGCTGTCCGTGAAGAAGGTGGGCGCGGACGGGACGGGATCCGCGGCGCTCCGCGTTTGGGCTGCGGCGGGGCCGCGCTGCCGTGCCGGGCTTTGCCTTTTCTGCGTGCGGTCAGAAGAGGCGTGCGGGACTTCGGAGCTCGCGGTCCGGCCGGGCGCTGATGGCGGCTCGGGTTGCATTTGGGAAGGCGACCCGGTTTCAGTGTTCCCACAAGTTTTGGGGAAGGGGGGTTTTCTGGGCTTGCCGATGTTTCCCCAGTTGCTGGGTTTGCTCTGTGTGTGTCCTGATACAGATTCATCCATGAAGACTTGCTGTAAGACAAGTGAATTTCCAGCATTATTAAGGACGTGGAAGCTTGACAGCACTCCTGAATGTGCAAATTCCTGTCCTCTTTCCTCCATCTGTGAGCCTGTCCTCTGCTCTCGTTTGTCTGTCCTCTAAAAACAAAGGATAATCTTGTATCTACCTGGAAATGAGTGGATGTTCATCTGGCTCCCAGCTGTGTTGTGATGCTCCACATGTCTGACCTTGGCATAAGGATATATCAGTTCCCACACAGGATTTATTTACATGCAGAAAATCCCTGGGGATCCTCGTTTGGAGATGCTATAAAATCAACCTGGTGACTGTTCTGATAATTGTCAGACTTGAGGGCTCCTCAGCTACAGCTTTGCTATGGCTTGACCTGCACTGATCTCTGCCAGCTCTCCTGTCTTGGTCCAGCAGAACAGAGGGATTTGGGGATTTTGCAGTCCTACCCCTTTGCTTTCCTGCTCAGTTCAGAGTGTGAAAGCTCAGGCAGGTGTAGGAGACTTCAGGCTGATAGGTTTGTTAATACTGTCCCACTGAAACCCAGCTCAGCCACGTGGCAGAAGTCCAGCACTGGCACACCCCTGTGTTCTATCACTGGGTTGCAATTCTGCTTCCTCAGGGAGTTTGCTCTCCTTCAGCAGTGGAGCTGATCATTCATCTCAGTGCTTCGTTGTTTGACTTCTGCCCTTGAGTCTCTGGTGCTTTTCTTCTCTCTGTGTTAGTGGGAACAGCCAGTCAGTAGGTGAGAGGAGCAGCTACACCCTTCCCACACGCTGAGATCTCATCTCATTCGTTCTCTGCTCCCTGCCTGCAGCAGGTTGTGTCACGAGGTGTGGGGAGTTCTCCAGGTATCACCTCTGATTTCAAAAGCTTTCTGGCTGCGTAGGCTGGTCGCTCCTTACTTTCCCTGTTGGTGCAGGTTTGATTTGTAGAGCAGAGGGCTTGGGTGGGTTTGTGATAATGTGTGTGCCTCTCTTTTTGCCCAGGTGTAATAGGCTTTCTTTTCTCAGCTTCAGACTTGAGGAAGAGTTTCCTCTATCCCCATTTGAGCAGCAGTAGCAGTGAGTTAATGCTGTGCTTTCTGCCCATCTCCCAGCTTGGTTTTCAGCTCTGTCCCCCATTGTGCCCCAGCTCTGCTTTGCAGCATCCCCTGAAGGTAGATTTGGGGTAGTTTGGTCCACCCATCCTGGAGAGGTGCTGAAGCAGAGCATCCTTTGCTAAAACACAAAAGGAATGGTCACAAAAGGTGGATGAGGCAATGGCTTTTGTATAGGGAGCAACAGGAGCTGTCTCTGAGGCGGTCAGCCTCCAGTTTCACAAGTTCTCTGAGCGTGATGTGGCCGCTCAGTGATTCAGCTTTCTGATGTCCCCATCCAAGAAGAGTAATCCAAGTAACTTTGTGCCAGAAAACTTGGTCTGTGTGGAGAGATTCAAAGCACTGAATGCTTGCAGTGTGAGTAAGCAGCAGCTCTCAGGGAGAACAGCACCGTTGCAGGGCACAAACCCGCTGTGCTCAGTTGTTGTGCTGTGTTTACCAACTGGACTTGTTTTTCTCTCCTATGAAATCTGTTTTTCTGTTGTGCTGAGCATATGACCTTTCCGTCTGCCTGCAACTAACGCAGGGATCCTGTTCCTCAGCAGCTGTGTGCCATCCCAAAGACTCTGCTGGCTGCATCTGACAGACTGCACCACTGGCAGCTTCCCTCCAGCCTTGCCAGCCGGCTCCGTGCCCATTCCCTGCTCACTGCTGCAGAAGTAATGAACCTCAGATGAAGAAAAGCCCTGGTGGAAAAGCCTTTGGGGAATGAGAGCTGACAAGTGTCCCAGGAGGTGACAGCCTTACCAGACTGCACACAGCTGGGCAAATGCTTCAGAGCTCTGTGTTTCTAGACATGAAACATCTTTGTTGTGGGAGTCAGTTTTGTTTCTTTCAGGCTCAGGTCTCTGCACATCATGAACATGCTGTTTTTTCTCAAGGCTGCTCCAGTGCAATTGGCAGTGCCCTCAACTTGCTGATGGGCTGAGTGTCAATGTTTTCCACTGGGAAGGTCCCAAAACAAAGGCAAGGGATGCAGTGTCCAGACTGGGAAGCCAGGCACTGAGGCAGGTGCTGATCTGAAAGCTTTTGTAAGAAATGTCAAGTCAGGTCATGTGTGCAGCCCCCAGAGATCCAGACAGAGCTGCAGTTTCAGGGTTCTAAGTTGTGTTGTATGTATGTATTTCTTGACTGGTGAAAACAGCAACAGAACAGCATCTCTGCCTTGAAATTCAGCCCAGCTTTATGGGTGATATAGAAGTTGCAGAGGAGTTTGGCCTCCTCTTTATCCGTCTGCCATTGAATTTGTGCTCCTCTGAGCAAGTATACTTTTGCTCCTCGATTCATTTATCAGTCTTCTTACCTGTCTGTCCTGTCCCTTGCCATTGCCTCTTTCCTTGGAGCTGAGCTGCCATCACTTGCCTGGGACAAGGTCAGACATCTGCCTTGTGGTTTTGGTGCTCCCTGGAGCTCCAGCCTTGAGCAGTGAGATGGAAGGACAGCTGCTGGAAATGGGTTTTGGAAGTGTGTTGAGTCTTGCAGAGGTTCACATCTCCAAAATCCTGCTTTCAGAGAAAGATGCCTCCTTGATAGATAGCAGAAACTGTCTTTGCACTGATTGGGAAGGCAATGGGAGGACAGGAATTGAGACAGAAAGAAGGCTCCACCAATCTGCTTGATGTTTTGGCTATCTGTTTGCTGCTTTGTGGCATTCTTTTTGTTTTGCTTTTTTGCAACTGGCAGAAAACCCCTTGCCAGTCCTTGTGCTGTGTGTGAGAAAGTGGGTTTTGAAGTGTCCCATGCAGTGAGCACAGTGGTTTGGGGTCGGAGCTGAGCTGGCAGAATGCAAGGGGTTGCCTGATGGCACTGTTGGCTTTTCTTTGCAGTGTTTTTTGTCTTGCCAGAGAAATGCCAAGCAGAACAAGGGACATGAACTTGGTGCTGGAAAGCTACTGGTGGAATATCTGTGGGCCAGATGTACGGAGAGGAGGTGAAGACTTGGCTGGATTGTGGCCAGCCTTGAATAGAGTCAGGAGACTGCATTTCAATCAGGCTGTGGGAGTGCAGGAGGGCCTTCCAAGAAGCACCACAAGAATGATTCTGTTTGGAGAATGGACTTCACAGCGTGGCTGCTACAGCTCAAAGCTATTCCTCAGCACGAAAAACGCTGAAGGTCCCTTCTTTTGTTGGGAGCCAAACAGGGATAGAAGGGAGGGCCTGGCCAGCTCACTTTTTGGCACCTCTTCTTGCAGCACAAGCTCTGCAAATGGGCCTGGAGAGCAGCGTACTCACTGAGAACTGATCCAATTAGTGGGCTGTAAAGTTGTGCGAGGAATATCCTTATGCGTGCCAGCATGGGGTGTGGTATATTACTACAAAAAAACCCAAAACACTGTCTGCAGTCAGCTCTTATTGATAAACAGCAATTAAAAGCATCATCTCCTCCTCAATGGCGCGAGGTGCAATGATTAAGAGCACAAACTCTCCCTTTATTACCCTTCATTCAGAGAAGCTCTCTGCTCCCTTTGGACAAACACCCTTCTGCTCTTCTTTGAGTGTGTTTAACTTGCCATCCTTGAATACTTGGGCTTGGGAGGAGCTTTTGTAACAGCTTTACGCAGCAGGTTTACGCACCAGGTTCTTCCCCACGCTGTTGAAACGCAGTGGTCAGATGTGGTTGTGACACAAAGGGCTGCCGAGCTGAGAAAGACGCTCTCAGTAGATGGTGGGGATGCTTTCTGGATGCCAACAGCACTTATTTTGGCCACAGGAATGTTTATAAATAGCCCTGAGTTGAGACTCGAGGTCTCAGGGCACTGCATGCTGCACGAGTCCTTCACCCCAGGCAGATTTCAGCCATTCAGTCTGGTACTCACCTGGTTTGGGAGGCAGAAGGGAAGAGCATCTCTGCAGAAAGCCTTGAGATGAGTGCTGCTGCAGTTGTGCTTGGTTAATACTTTTTACCCTCATTGTTTGTTTCCTTCCTGCTTTTCCCTGTGCATGTCAGGGAGCTGCTCTGTGGATGCTTCACATGTGGTCACCAGGCTTCAGCTCTTCACTTCCCAAACAGGTCCATTTGCCACACAGTGATTAGGAAGAGGTTGCTTCCAAATGGTTTGTTTGTGTTTTGTAGCAATCTGCAGAAGAACAAAGGCTGCCTGTAAATGCATGGTAATTCAGAGGTCAGAGAGGTGTATTAGGCATCACGTAGAGGTAGGAGCAACTCCTTGATGTGCTTCCTTGTGACCAAAGCATGGAACAGCTCATCCACAGCTGTGACTCAGTGCCCAAATCCACCTTGGGAGGAACTGCCAAGCTGCACAGCCCCGTGACTGCACACACAGCAGTCACACGAGTCCATCCTCTGCTTCCCAACAGGGAAGAGAGTGGGTGAGGGCTGCTTGGGGTGGATGTTGCCATGTCTTTCCCTCAGCTAAATGAAGCAAGACTGGTGTTGTCATGAGGGTGCTGCTGGTGGAGTTGTCTCCTGGGATAAGGGGGAGGCTGAAGGTAGCACAGAGCCTTAATATAATACAGAGTGACACCATCAGAACTGAAATCTAGCTTTTCTAAGGAAATCTTCCAGAAATCCCCAGGTACTTCTCACCATTCAGAGATGTTGAGAGGAGATAACCCTGTGGGTTTGCTAATGGCTTTCAGGGGACCTGTGATGAAGCTGTGATGGTGGGAGCTGGTCAGTCATTCTGGCAGCGCCGGGGAGCTGCAGAGGGTTGGAAATCACGAGCTGGCTGCAGGAAGGTCTGTAACAAAGATAGGAGCTATTTTGGGGAAGAAAGGAAAGAAGAAGAAGAAGTGCTTCCATTTGCTCATCTCTTTTGCTGCCCAGGCGTGGGTTCTGTCTCTGATGGGGAGTTCCTCTGGTCTGTGACAGCAAGACTGGAGACTTCCCTCTGTGCTGACCTCTCTGCACACAGAGCTGCTCCTTTTCAGCCACTGGTGTGTTCAGCTAATGTAAGGCCCCACAGCTGCAAGCACGTAGCCTGTAGAAAAACCTAGGGCAGATGTTCCAAACCCACAGCAGAGGGTTCCCCAGCTCTCTGCATAGGCAGCAGCATGGGTGAGATAAGGAATTTCTGCCTTTGGTTCCTGGATCATAGCCCACATGGCAAAAGCTTTGCCATCCCAGAGGATCCCACTGCTCCAAATCAAAGAGGATTGTGTGAAACCCTGTGTGATCCCCCATGGCTCCATCTGCCCATCACCTGGGAGATAAGATCTGGATTTTGTTTCTTCCTTGAGCATCCTTGCTGCGGGAATGCACTTAAAGCACTGGCTGCAGATGGATCCCGAAGTAGCTCTTGAATAGTGGGATTTTAGGGCACTGGTGTCCCTGCTTGGGCCTGGGCTGCCTATTAATAGCAGAAATCTTTGGAGACTGCTTCCTTCTAACACAAGTACGAGCTGCTGGGCTAGAACATGTCGACTCTCACGTAGGTGCAGTGAAAGTTTCTGTAAGCAAACCAATATGGCACGTTGCCTTCCCCAGGGGATTCACCTCCTTACTGGGACAGGGACGGGATGCATTGCACTGTGCAATCAGATGAAGGAATTTGGTTGCAAATCTTCCAGCTCAGCAGTTCTTTCCCACGTAAGGGCTGGGTCTGTGTAGGAACACGCCTGGCTCTCCTGTCTTACCTAAGAGCTGCCTTCCTCCACAGAGATGCAGAGATCTTCAGGCAAGGAGGTGCTGAAGCTAGATATATCCGCAGTAATTCAAGAGGAGAAACCAGTTCCTGGCTTTTGAGGTCAGGTCAGACTTGACAAGCACAACACCGAGTTTTTATAGCATATAAACCTGGTTCTTTATTGCTGTAGTTACGTGGAGCCTGAGTAACTGGTGAGGTTTGGCAAAGGTGCATCAGGTTGCCAAAACATGGTATATAAGGGCGATGTTCTCAGCTGAACTGTCACCAACCGGAGCAAATAAGCGTGGCATGAACAGCTGAGGTTACGTGAGTAATGTGCCTGCCTGGATGCCAAGTGCATGTGAGATGTGGACCTGAGTAGAGCTCTGAGCTCAAAGGGCAGGAGAGGGCCGTTAGGTCAGCTGTGGAGGCATGATGTGGCTGTGAGATGGTTTTGGGGTTTCTAGAACCAGTGTGGACCTCAGAACTGACCTTACCAGTGCCTTGCAGCTGTGAGCAGGTTAACTGAGATGACTGTCCTGGTTTTTGAGAAAGTGGCAGCCAGATGACATAATGCCTGGTGGTGATGTGGCCTCACCCCACAGATGGCTCGAGATGAACCAGGCTGCCTTTGTCCTGTCTTCACATGCCTCTGTCTTCACCTGCAGAAGCCCTCTGTCTCTTCCTGGGATGCTACCTAATGCTGTCTGTGAGCATGCCAGTGTTTCTGGCTGTCTCTGTGGGGTGGTTCAGCCATCTGTCTCTTCTCCTTGCAGCTGCAGAGCTACTTTGCTGCCTGTGAAGATGAGACCCCGGCCATCAGAAACCACGACAAGGTCCTGCAGCGGCTCTGTGAGCATCTGGACCACGCTCTGCTCTATGGGTAAGCATTGCACCTACCTCTGGGTTTTCCTTTTCACTGCATTTTGCTTGTGAAAGCACACACAGCATGCTGCAAGGGCTTTCCTCAGCATGGGAAAAACATCCAGTTGGTAATAAGGATGGGGATAAAGAAGCCCTTGCTTACATTTTCTCTGGACCCCTCTTTTATAGGTTGCAAGATCTTTCCTCGGGTTACTGGGTGCTGGTTGTTCACTTCACCCGCCGTGAAGCCATCAAGCAGATAGAAGTGCTCCAACATGTGGCCACCAACCTGGGACGCAGTGAGTGTTTGCAGACACTGCCCTGGCTCTGGGGGCAGACATCAGGGTGGGGACATCTGGCAGAAAGCTTGGGAAGGCTGTAATGGCCACGTGTTTGAGGGCTGGGGACCTGGGGAGCCAGCTGGGCTGAGTCCATCTCACCCTGTTCAACCTCAGGAGGTGGCAGTCCTGTTGGAGCTGCTTTATGGCCCTAGAAATATTGCAGCCTGTCTCTAGCCATGCTTCTCTTGCTGCGAAACCAAAGCAATCTGCTGTACTGTGCTCTCAGGAAGGGCTTGTGGCAGACAGGAGGCATCAACTCTCTTGCCCTGCAGTGTCTTGCTGTAGCTGTTGTTTGCCTGATGTTGCTTCTCCTCAGCTGTGAGATGTCTGTAGCAGATGTTTGGGACCATCAAGGCCACAGGGTGGTACCCAGAGACCTTCTCTCTGCCTGATTCTCCCAGCATCCTTCGTCTCCCAAGCCTTGTACCGGTGAGAGTGGAGCTGAGTACAGATTCCACCATCACCTCTCTCTGCACCAACCTTTTTGTAATACCTCCAATTGCACCTGTGCTGATTTAGAGTGATTCTCCCTCTGCCTCTCCTGGCTGCTGATCCCACTGGAAATACCAGCAGGGCCCCATCATGCAGTAGGGACCCAGTTGTGTGGCTGCTCCTCAACTGCCTACCACACAGTCTCTCATTCTTATTCCTACTCCAGATCATGAATCTTCCCGTTCATCTCCCACTGGCATTTTTCCCACAGATTCATCTCACAGCCACACGTTTCCTTCAAATTATATGAATGTGAATGAACAATCTGATGTATTGTAACTGACTTGTGATTATTTCCAGGCTTGCTTTGCTTTACAGGTGTTTCCCTGCAGATAAATCTTTCTGCTGCTTTGCTTTCAGGCCGAGCATGGCTGTACCTTGCCCTCAATGAAAACTCCTTGGAGAGCTACTTGAGGCTGTTCCAGGAGAACCTAAGCCTGCTGCACAAGTACTATGTCAAGTGAGTATCTGAACTGGTTCTGGTTTTTGGGCTCTTGTTGGTATCCCTCCTTGTCAGAAACAAGAAGTGCCAATGAGAGAGCAAGAAATTGGCCAGGGTCTCATCACCTGCAGAAGAGTTGCATGTTTGATGCAAGGATCCCAGATGTGGAGGTACAGTTCTATAAGAGGGCCTGCAAGCATCTCTTCTATTTACTCCTTTTATTCCCTTTTATTCCTCCTGTTATTCCCCAGACATACTCTTTATTCTCTTCCATGCCTTCCAAGAAGCTCTGGACCAGCTCTGGTGGATGCCTGGAAATTGGGACGTAGCACAATTTGGGGGCAGCATGTAGAAGAAGATGTGCTTTTAGAGCTCTGCCATTGCTCTTAAACAGGAGGCAAACAGCAGGCGTGCAGCTATGGGGCTGTTACAGCGCATCTCAGGGACACTCCACCAAAACTAAGAAAACAGAAGGGTGCTTGTGACTATTTCCTTTTCTTTTCCACAGCTCTAAAGTTCTTCTGTTTTATCCGTGTTGCAGGAATGCTCTGGTTTGCAGCCATGATCATCTGACCTTGTTCTTAACGCTGGTGTCCGGGCTGGAGTTCATCCGCTTTGACTTGGATCTGGTGAGGGGAACAGTTTGTTGTCTGCCTGTTATAACTGGGGACAGTGGGTACATGGGGTGGGATGGGTGCTGTCACAGGTCTCACTGCTTGGGCCAGAGCACCTTGTTGGCAGCCATCTTGTTTAGTTGAAAATGTGCAGCTTCCAGACAGCTGAGGATAAAGGGAAGTCATGTTTCCAAATGTGCTATGAAGTGCTGGCATTCCTGCAGGGAAATGGAGGTGCTCACAAAGCACGAAGCTGACCCTCCGTGTTGCAGGAAAAGGGGAGGAAGCCATTGGCTTTCCTGTGAAAGGAGCAGGAATAGACATCAGAAGACATTCAAGGGCAGTCCTATCATTTTGGCTGTGCTTTTACCTGTGTGCAGTGACTCAGAGCCTGAGCGACTCCATTTCTTCTTCCCTGCAGGACGCTCCTTACCTGGATCTGGCCCCTTACATGCCAGATTACTACAAACCTCAGTACCTGCTGGACTTTGAGGACCGCCTGCCCAGCTCCATGCACGGCTCGGACAGTCTCTCTCTCAACTCCTTCAACTCTGTCACCTCCACCAACCTGGAGTGGGATGACAGTGCCATTGCTCCATCCAGTGAAGGTAGGTGGTTCGGGAGGAAAAAGCACCAGCCTCCTGTTTTCTGCAACAGGTGAGATTGAGGGCTGTGTGTTCCCATACTGCCGTCAGCTGTGCTGCTGAACTGGACGTGGCACCAAATGATGTAGCAGATGATGGGCTGGAAGAGACCAAAGAGCCCCAGAAGTAAGGCTGTGAGCCTCTTCATGTCTTTCATTGGGAGGTGCGGCCAGTGGAAATGAGAGGGCAGTGCAGCACTGGCATTTAAGCTTCAAACAGCCACGTTGCCTCTGTCTGGGAAAAGAGAACCTTCCATGCCAATTACCTCAGGCCAAATTTCCATAATGGGGGGGATGTTTTTGCAAGAACTGGTGAAATCTCTCAAGGGATGAAGGCTGTGCTGTTTCTGAACACAGCTTCCAGCTTGGAGCAGGTACACAAGACTGCAGAGGACCTTTTCTAACTCCTTATTTTGCAGTTGAGAGACCTGAGTATGCTGGAGGAAGCAGGGAACAGTTTCCTAAGTCTCTTTCCATCTCTGCAGTCCTAGGGAAATGCAGGTGGTGGTCTCAGAGATGCCGTGATTTCTCTTTATGCATCTTACCTCGAGCAGCCTGATAACTCATGATACTCATATCCTTACATTCACCCTCTTGTCTGTGTCAGAAGGGGCTTGGCCATGCTGGGTGTTGTCCCTGACCAACTGAGATGTGCCTTATGCCTGCCTCCTTAACCCGCCCCAGGCTGAAACAGGCAGCTCTTACAATGCAGGAAGCATGCTCACCTGAGGAACATCTCTTCTGCTGCAGTTCCTAATCCAAACACACCAACCTGCTTCCTTTTTTGGTTCCAGTTTGAGGAAAGTAGGATCAGGGGATTCTAGGTGCAGTGTGTATCATTAACTGGGTGCAGTGAATTTGGGACTGAGTCCGCCTACAGATGAGTTGTGTCTGAGACAGGGGTCTGCCAGCTACCTTTTATGTGCAAGGACTGCAGTCCTTAAAGACACTGAGGAGGAACAGCTCTGGATGCAAGGTGCAGGGATGGGTATTAGCATCATTTTAGCAAAGGGCTTTGAAGCACAGTGCTGCCTTGGGCTCCTCTGTGCTGTCCAGGTGCAGAAGGGTTTGCTTTCGCAGACAAAGCAGTGAGGTGTTCTGGTTTGCCAGGGTGTACAAAGCAGAACCTTTCCCTGCAGCATCACGCAGAGTCTTTGTGGTGTGTAGTCTTCCCTAAGTGACCCCCAAGTCCCCTTACCAGACAATTCAACGGGAGCATCTCTACCATGGGAATGCAGGTGAAGTTGGGGAATTTAGGATCAGAGGACAAGGTTTGCCCTTTAATCAGACCCTTAGCTTTGCAAACATTAATGAGTCAAACATCACTGTGTCTGTGGGAGATAAGTGTGAGGTGGGGAAATTGAGGCACAGAGCACTTAAATAATTTCCCAAAGGGGATTCCTGGTTAGGTACACAAGCCTGCTATGATTCCCACCATTATTTTATTTATTTATTTATTTATTTATCGCTTTCCAGCAGCTCACATACTGAGGCCTTCATCCCTTTGCATTGTAGTTCCTGCAATGCAAATATCCATCAGTAACAACTGTTAGGGAAGCTGATTTCCATTTGCATCCATGTTCCCTAACTATTATGTATTTCAGATATCAGTGGAAGATTGTTTTGTTTCTCACCCTTCTTATCCCTAAACCCCCTTCACACTGTCCCCTGTTCCCTTCCCTCCCCACTACTTGTTTTTCTAATCCTGAGTTTTATCCCTCATTTTTGTAGATTATGATTTTGGAGATGTCTTTCCAGCAATGCAGACCATGCCCAGCAGAGACTGGGAAGGTGGGACGTACTCATGTGTTAACAACAGTTGGTTTTTCTCTATGCATTGCTGCCACCTGAAGCTTGCTGCATGCTCTCCTGTTCACTTCTTTAACATGCAAACATCACATGTTGATGGAATTCAGTATAGGCAGAGGGGAGAGAATATCTTGTCTCCTATAAGATCACATGCAGAGCATTTCCCAGCTCCTAGCGTAGCCAGACAGAGGAATTTGTTCTCCTTCCTCCATATGCAGAGCCCATGTGTGGATTCTCTGCATGTCCCAGGAGCAGGAAATCTCTTTTCCCTGGGGGAAATGCACTCTGTCCTTTATAATTACAAACTGGATGGAGGTTGCAGTCAGAATTGTTTTGGCCAGAACTACCTGACTATTTGGGAAGACTGCTGGAATTCCATGTGGATGGCTCTCAGGCTCTAACACACTCCCTCTCATTTTCTTTCTTATCCAGCACACACAAGTGCTCTACCACAGCACTTCCAGTCAGTCTGGACAAGGCTGGAGTGGAGCAGAAGCCTTTGGCTTCTCCTCTCTGCAGCGATGGCAATGGCCAGTGAGCTCCCCTAGATCCAGTGCTGTGCTCAAGCAGGGTCATGAGTGCTTCTGAGCACCTGGGTCTGTCACTAAAGGTTTCATTTTCCTCTTCAAACCCTCCACCCCTCAATCAGTCTCACAGGGTTGTCATTCAGAAGGCCTTTTGCTGCCTACCACGAGGCTTGTAGTTAGCTTGGGAATTAATGGTGCTGGGGAGGAGAAGGGCGCAATCACCTTCCTTTAACCTGTCTTTGTGGATGGATAATGCTGAGCATGACTGCTGTAGCCCCTCTCTGCTGCTCCTTTTCCCTCTGCAGACTAACATGGGCCGGGCTGGTTGTGCTGTGACTTCTGCACAGCCTGCTGTCCTCCAGCCTGGGTGAATGCTGCGTTCCCTCTGCACACTCCCAGTGCCATGTGTGTCATGCAGGTTGCTGTAAGGGGCATTGCTTCATGGGTTGGTTCCGTGCCTGCCCTCCTAGCTGAGCATAGGACCCAGCTACGAGGTTTCTGACCGTACTGTGCAGCCAATTGGTGTAAAATGCTGCTGACCTCGAGGTGGATTGGATGGGAGCGTTGCCCCCACTACTTGTTAGCAGAGATAAGGAGTCCTGGTGACTCGACCACGCAAACCTGATGCCACATGAGTGCATCAGTTTCCATCTAGGCATTTCCACCCTGGGCATTTCTGAGCCTCGTTAACCACTGTCATCTTGGTAATGAGCACCACAGCCCCAAGACCCACTGGTTCTTTCCTGGGGATGCTGCCTCTACTTCCTAATGCAGGTGCAGGCTCGTGGGTGACTGAGCTGTTATTTCTAGGCATTTTCTAAATTGCAGCAAGTGCCAAGCACAGAGCAATGCTGGTCTGCACGCTCTCTGTCCCTCCTTGCAAGGAGCCTGCTGTCAGTGCTAAGCTGGGCCAGCGGTGCTCTGCCAGTGCTCTGTGAGCAGTGGGGTGACCACCCAGTGCCCTGAGCCCCCAGCACGCAGCTTTGCTTGACCTGACCTGACCCAGCCCTTGCAGGGTGCCCAGGCTGATGTTAATCCTACATTTCCTTTCTTGTCTTTGCAGATGGGGACCTCACAGACACGCTCAGCTGCCCGCACTCCACTGCCTCAGAAGCAAATGGCAGCAAAACCTCTGTAAAAAGCCCAACGCAGCGCTACAACCCCTTCAACGAGGAGAAAGCAGATGTGCTGTCCTCCACTGAGACCACCCCAGTGCACACAGCTTCCCAGGAAAAGGCAGAAGCCACCCCTGAAGGAACGGACCAGTCTGAGAGCTGCACAGAGCTGGAGGTCATCAGGTGGGGATGGAGCTGCCTGGCCTGGAAACGTGCCCTGCAGTGTCAGCAGTCACTGGGGGCTGATGGTGCACTACTCCTTCCAACCCAGCATCTATTGTGCAGCCTTTGTAAAATCAGGAGGCAATGGTTTTATGCTTCTGCATGCCAAGTGATCCTCTGTAGGTGTTAACAGAGCTCCCTTGGGTCTGTAGAACTGCTTGGCATACATTCCTTTGCCCAGCGTTCTGCATCAGGAAGCTCAGAGGAAGCTGTAAGCTTGTGATTTAAGCTTTCTCCGGCTGGTGGCAGGTTTGCAGCAGTTCTGGGTCTCAGATCTTCCTTCCTTCCTCTTGTCTGTCAGTGAGCTGTGGCTAAACCTGCTGAGAGAGATGTGTCTGCAGACCTGTTGGCCTGTGTTTGACTTCTTGCAGAGGAGAGCCTTGGGGTTCCCTTGGAGTCCTTAAACCCAGACAGAGAATGCAAGGCTGACTGCTCACACCTGGGGACAGAGGCACTCCAAAACCAGACCAGCAGGCCTGGGCTTTGTTCTCACACCTGTTTTTCCTGGGAGGTGCAGAGGAGACGACTCTGAGATGGGTCACGTTGCACCCTGCTCTCCAGCAGTGTGGGAAGAGAAGCACCGTGCTTCCTTTTGTAGGGAAAATCTCAGAGGAAGGTTGTCAGGAAAGGGTGGGACCCCAATCCCCTCCCTTTGCATTGCAGAAGTCCAGGCAGGCAAAGATAAGTGATGTTCATGACAGCCTCTCACCCTGCAGGTTAGCCAAGAAGAAGAAAACAGGCAAGAAGAAGAAAGCAAAGCCAGAGGAGCCAGTGAACACACCTGTGCCCGCAGTGCCCGAGGCCAGCACACATCAGAGCAGCGGAGACAGCGATGTGAATGGGCTGAGTGACAGAGGAGATGTACAGAGGGACGATGAAACCACTGCCCCAGCTGGGGAGCCGAGCCCGGGCGGGCAGGAGGACGGACAGGAGCGTTCTGCCCTCAGCCAGCTGGCTTTGCGCATCCCCGAAATGAAGGACACGTCCATGGAGAGCGTGGGGCAGCCGCTGAGCAAGGTGATGGACAGGCTGAACGGGCAGCTGGACCCTGGCGGCTGGAGCGCGCCGCCCCTGGAGCCGCCCAGGCAGTCCTTTCGGACCGGCACGCCAGGGGACACCCCAGATGGATCGTCCTCTGGCGACTTTAGCGAGGGGATTTCAGCCCCCATGGACTTCTACCGCTTTACCGTCGAGAGTCCAAATGCTGCTGCACCAGGTGGTGGCCACAATGACGCTCCAGGGGCTGGCCAACCGCCACATGTTTCTGGTAGCCCTGAGACTCCTAAAGAAGAAGAAGAAAGCAGACAGGGAGAAGAAGCAGTTGGGGCAGTAGAAGAGTCTGAAGGAGTGAGCGGTGAACCCCAAACTGCCCAGATGGAAACCATCAATCCTGAGGCTGTCGGTGAGCCAAAGAAGGAGCAGCCCAGCCCTTCCTTGAGCAGCGCTGAGGACTCTGGTGTGGAGGAAGGTCAGGGCAGCCCTTCAGAGCTCACCCATCCCTCGGAGTTCAGGTGAGGCTGGGTCTGCTCAGCTCAGCATACAGAGTTTGTGAGAGCACAGAACGTGTCTTCCAAATGTAAAGAGCTGCTGGTACTCAAGCTGATACTTTTCCCTTGTCCCCCAATTGTGGGGCAAAGCCCATCCTTTTCCAGGATGAAGGTGATGCTCAGGGATTCACAAGATCTTGTGGACCAGCAGGTGCCCTAATCACACACATTCATTCAGAAAGGTGACTGGACCCACCCAGCCCCACATCTTTGTCTGTCCTTCAGCCTCTTCTGTCTGTCTTTGCAGGGTGGACAACAACCATCTGCTCCTGCTGATGATCCACGTCTTTCGGGAGAATGAGGAACAGTTGTTCAGGGTAAGACAGTCACATAGGGCAGCATACAAATCAGTCTGCAAAGAGCCACCTCTGTCTGCTTTGGCCATGGGCTGAGAGCTTTCCTCCTTGCACACAGATGATCCGAATGAGCACCGGGCACATGGAGGGGAACCTGCAGCTGGTCTACGTCCTGCTGACAGATTGCTATGTGTACCTGATCCGGAAAGGTATCTCAACAGCTCCTGCTCATCTGGGCTGCTAAAACTCTCAGTTTAATAAGAACAGCCCCTTGGAGGTCTGGGAGCTGGGGTGCTTGGTCCATGGCTTGATCAGATTAGGGCATCGTAACTCATCAATGTTTACCAGTTCCTTTGTGCTCCTAAAAGCAGTGGCAATAGCAGCAGTGAGATCAGGTTGATATGCCCCATAAGGAGCCCTAGGACCTGTGCCCTGTAGCTCCTTGCCCCTGGGACATGGCTTCTCTTGCTGGCTCCAGGCAGTGACAGGTTCCTTTGCCCCCCTTCATGCAGCTCTTTGTCTCTGTGCCAGGGGCAGCAGAGAAGCCATACATGGTGGAGGAGGCCGTTTCCTATAATGAGCTCGACTACGTTTCGGTGAGTGCTGTCTGGGGAGGGAGCAGGAGGCAGGTTGGTGGTTATCCTCACCTCTTTGGCTGCACGGATGGCAGCAGCAGCACAGTGGAATGTTTCTGTGGGGCTCTTTGTTCATGAGGAGCATTTTGAACTGTGAATCTTTGAGATGGAGAGTTAGAAGTGTTGCTCTCAAATGCCACCTCTGTTGGTGCTTGGCTTTCTGTGTCTCTGCACAGGCAGCAGAGCACCTGCTGACCTTCTCCCCTGGGGTCAGGATGCCAGGTTCAGCCCTGCTCCACCACCCTTTGTCCTCTGTCTTGCTTCCTTACCCAGTCATGTGTAACACAGGTTGGGCTGGATCAGCAGACGGTGACGCTGGTGTGCACCAATCGGAGGAAGCAGTTCCTGCTCGACACTGCAGATGTGGCTCTCACAGAGTAAGTGGGCACCGACAGCCCCTCATGTCATCAAAAATCCTCCAGTCAGTGGAGGGACCCTTGGCTGTCAGGGCAGGTGAAGCTGACAAAGGGCTGCCTCCATAGCTGCGTCTCCCTCTCAGGTTCTTCCTGGTCTCCTTGAAGTCAGCCATGATCAAGGGGTGCCGGGAGCCTCCGTACCCCAGTATCCTCACAGATGCCACCATGGAGAAACTGGCACTTGCAAAATTTGTGGCTCAGGAGTCCAAGTGTGAGGTGAGTTCAGACATGGCAGCCATCGCTGCGCGTGGCAGAGCATCACGCTGGACACCGTCCTGTTCACATCTCTGCCCATCCCACAGGCCTGTGATGTGGTTGTGCGTTTCTATGGCCTCGTACACTGGGAGGACCCCATGGATGAGGCGCTGGGACCCTCTCCCAATAGCTACACCTCTGCTGAAAATGCAGTCACAAAGGATGGCATTCTGCACTACAAGGCGGGCACCTCATACCTGGGCAAGGAGCAGTGGAAGACCTGCTTCGTGGTGCTCAGGTGGGTCTGGGAGAAGATCCCTGACCAGTTTTCTTTTACTGCCCAGGAGCTGTCTGGGAGATGAGGAGAGGTGAGGAGAGCCCATCTCATCACCTGGGAGGCTGAGATAAAGCCCCTGTTGTGGCTGCCAGCAGCAGCAGCACAACCCCATGGGGCTGTGTGCACAGGGCTGGGCAGGAGTGTCTGTGTGACCAAAGCCAGGGTGTGTTTGGTTGGCAGAGCTGAGCTGGCTCCACTGACCATCTCCCATCTTTCCAAATGGCAGCAATGGGATCCTGTACCAGTACCCTGACCGCACAGATGTCACACCTCTGCTCTCCATCAACATGGGGTAAGCAGCCGGTAGGATGTAGTCCCAGCTGGGAAAATGGGACAGGGTGATGAACAGGGAAGGGAAGGTGGATGGGGGCAGGGCTTGTTGTCATCGGGACAGTGCTGCCAGTCCATCCTGATCTCCCTCCTCTCTCCCAGCGGTGAGCAGTGCGGGGGATGCCGGCGCTCCAACACCACCGACCGGCCCCACTCCTTCCAGGTGATCCTGACAGACCGGCCCTCCCTGGAGCTGAGTGCTGACAACGAGGAGGACATGGCTGACTGGATGCAGTATTTCTGCCAGGCCGTCTCCAAAGGGGTGAGCTGCACACATGGGTGAACAAATCCCTCCTGAGCCCCTTTGGGTCCAACCTCCATGGTCCTTTCCATGATGTTCCCCAAAGAGCGGGATAGAAAGTGATGTTTTAGGGCAGTTCCCTTCACCAGAAGCACGTGGCACCACGGAGATGGGGCTCCTTCATTCCAGGATCTATCTCCCCTTCCCCACCCGCTGTGTGCAGGTCATCCCCCAGGGTGTAGCCCCTACGCCATGTGTCCCGTGCTGCCTGGTGCTGACAGATGAGAAGGCCTTCACCTGTCATGAGGACTGCCAGACCAGCTTCTTCCGCTCGCTGGGCACGGTGGAGCTGACAGACATCACCTCCATCTCCACAGAGGCCAACAAGGAGTACTGCATCCTGGTGAGCAAGGTGCTTTGTGGTGGCCTGGGGTTGGGCAGGGCCGTGGTAGCAACACCCGCTTTCTCTCATGTTCAGGAGTTTGCTCAGGACCACAAGCAGTTCCTGCCTCCCTGGGTGCTCTATTTCAGTTGCACTACAGAACTGGAGAGGTTCCTCTCAGCACTGAACGCCGCGTGGAGAAACAAATACCAGGTGAGCTCTGCACAAACATTTCCATGCCTGTAGGCAAGGCAAGCCCTCCTTTCTGCAGGGGGCATGCAGCCCCAAAGCTCCGTGCCCGTACATCCATGGGGTGTGGGATGGGGTGGGAGAAGGAGCTGTGGTGCCACCCTGCCTGACTGCTTCACGCATTGCAGGTCGACCTCCTGCACAAGGCCATTCTGGACGCAGCTGTCAAGAAGAAATGTGAGGATGCTCAGAGCCTCATCAACAGCGCCTGGCAGCGCAGCGACAGCCTGTGCCGCGGGCGGGCAGAACGAGACCCCTGGTGTTAGCCCTGAGGGGAGGACGGCTGACAGACACCCCAGATGCTCTCAGAGTGGGCACCTGTGGCCTGTGGCCGGCGGCATCCCAACCTCTTCTGCCATCACACTGCCCCCGTGGCCATGCTGGGGACGCAGCCAGCCTTGCCCTGCTGTGCAGCCTGCACCCTCCTCGCCATCCAGCTGCTGTGGGGCAGAGCGCGTTGCCTTGAGAGGAATGCCCCACTGTGTTGGAGTGGGGTGGGATGGGGCTGGGCATCCACTGGGCACAGCACAGCTTTGTTCTGTGCAGAACAGAGCAGGTGGCAGCCATGGTGAGATGGGCACTGAATCACATCGTGCATGTTTTCTCCTTGCTGATGCAATCACTGTGTATGGCACTGCTCCTTCTGAGCCCCCTCTGGGCACAGAGAATCTCACCACGGGCAACGCATCCAGACACGGCCAAACCGCACACGGAGCTGGCGCCAGGGCTGAGGCTGGAGGTGCTGAGCAGGGAACGATGGGGAAAGAAGGGGGAACGTGGCCAAAAGTTTGGCCTTGAATATCCTGGCCGTGAGTGGTCTGGTTTTAGGAGGCAGCAGGAGCTCTGGGCTTGGATGTGTGATAGGACGAACCCCGGCAGGGAGAGATGGAGTCCAGAGTTCCTCAGGGGCCGAAGGGCTGCGGCTGCCCCACCGTGCCCAGCTCCTCACTGTGCCCAGAGGACGGGGGCAGCAGCCCCACGTCGGCCCCATTGCTCCCCCCTCTGCCACACACCCTGCGGGGCACAGTCTGAGCTTTTAAACAGTACTACGGAGATCTCATGTAATATACATCTGCGGGGCCTTTTTTCTGGGAGGAAATGTATGTGACTGAATGTATATATATATACATCTGCTTCCTTTCCCCTCCTCCCCAAATAAATATTCATTGGTAACTCAGCTCCGGCCCTGCAGTGCGCACAGGGCTGGGGTTCCCTTGCTGCTGGTTTTGGGCTTTGCCGGGCTCGGCTCGGTGCACCCCTCGCTCCCCCCAACGTCCCTCTGCTGTACCCGCACTGGCGCCGCGTCCCGTTGCGGCAGGGCGCATCGCCGCTGGACGGGACGCGGGGAGGGACGCGCCGTTGACCTTTGCTCCGCATCCCGCCCCCAAATCGGGGTCGGCATCGGGCTGGGCGGCGCTCGGTCGCCCCCCCCCCCCCAACTCCTCGTGTCCGCAGGACGAGGAAGGCGGAGCGCGGGGCTATTGGCAGGGCGTGCAGGTGCTGCATGGCGGCGGGCACCGGGGCCCTCGGGCTCTTCCCCGCCGCCGCGCTGCACGATTTCCCCTACCCCCCCCAAACCGCGGCCCCCGTCTCGCACGGCTCCCCGGCGGGGGGGGTTCCTCCGGCCGCCGATTTGGTGCTGGGAGCCGCGGCCGGCTGCATGGCCTGCGTGCTCACCAACCCGCTGGAGGTGGTCAAGACGCGGCTGCAGCTGCAGGGCGAGCTGCGGGCTCCCGGCACCTATCCCCGGCCGTACCGCGGCGTGCTGCGGGCGGTGGGAGCCGTGTGCCGAGCCGACGGGCTGCGGGGGCTGCAGAAGGGGCTGGCGGCGGGGCTGCTGTACCAGGGGCTGATGAACGGCGTCCGCTTCTATTGCTACTCCTGCGCGCTGGACGCCGGCTGGACCGGGTGGCCCGGGGGCACCGTGGTGGCCGGGGCGGTGGCCGGGGCGGTGGGAGCCTTCGTGGGCAGCCCCGCGTACCTGGTGAGTGCTGCGGGCCGGGGTTGGGGGGGGGAGGAGCCCCCCGGCTCTGCGTGCTGCGCGTCCCCATCCCCGCTCGGCTTTGCCCCCTGGAGCACTGGGACGCGTTGTGCGTGCCGTGCCCCAGCCCTCCTGCTCGCCCCATCCCGAGCCCAGAGCTCCACTGCAAGGAAATCGGGATTTCTCCCTTTCTGGGGTCTCTCCATCTCTTGGGGTGCTCAGAGGCGGAGCCGCTGCGGTGCCACTGCGGCCCTTTGCCCCAGGGCAGGGGGGGGAATGGGAGTTTGTAGGGTCTGGTGCATGTAGGTGGGTGCCCCATATCTGCCGGGGGGGCCCAGATGGCCCCAAAAGGCAGTTTCCTGATGCTAAGAAGGGATGCTGAAGCCCAGGGAGGGAATGCGCAGGGCAAAGGGGGGTTCTGTCACCTGGTGTCACCCGGCGTTGTCCATCCCTGCAGGTCAAGACCCACCTCCAAGCCCAGACGCTGTCAGCCATGGCCGTGGGCCACCAGCACAACCACGAGGTGAGAGGGTCCGGGCCCTGCAGGCAGCAGTTGTAGGGCTGGGAGAGGGGACACCATTTTGTCCTGCAGTATTTAAAGCTGTTGTCAGGCGGGTGCTATAAATATCAGCACGGCTCGGAAACAACGTGCACGGCGCTCAGGGATGCGGTGACATTGGGGTGACAGTGACGAGGCTGTGTGGGGGGTGGAATACGGATGTGCTCACCCAGCGTTTCTCCCCGCAGAGCATCTCGGACGCCTTCGGGAGCATCTACCGGCAGCACGGCGTGGCAGGGCTGTGGCGTGGGGTGTCGGGCGCGGTGCCACGCGTGGCGGTGGGCTCGGCTGCACAGCTGGCCACCTTCGCCTCTGCCAAGGACTGGGTCTGCCAGCACCAGGTGACCCCCGCGCCCCGCCTCAGCCCCGTGGTGCGGTGCCACCGCTGACGGCTGTGGATCCCCGCAGTGGTTCGGGGAGGGCAGCTGGGCAGCGGTGCTGGCGGGCGGCATGGTGAGCGGCGTGGCCGTGGCGGTGACGATGACGCCGTTTGACGTGGTCAGCACGCGGCTCTACAACCAGCCCGTGGAGGCTGACGGCACGGTGAGTGCGTGGCATTGGGATTTGGGGTCATTTCCTGGCTCAGCGGGGCTGCATCCGGCGTGTGTCTCCGCAGGGCAAGCTGTACCGCGGGTTCCTGGACTGCTTTGCGCAAATCTCCAGCAAGGAGGGGCTGCTGGGGCTCTACAAGGGCATCGGCGCCGTCTACCTGCGCCTGGGCCCCCACACTGTGCTCAGCCTTTTCTTCTGGGATGAGCTCAGGAGGATGGTGCGGCCGCAGCCGCCCCCGGGGCCGTAGGACCCCACGGATACAAATAAAGGGATGTATTTTTTTTTTGTTTTGGTGGAGCTTTGGGGGTCTTTGGGGCACAGTGGGGCCGGGAGGGGTGATGGCAAAGCCGCGGGGATGTGCGGCGTTCTGAGCCTCACCACCACCTGAACGCCCCCTCCTGTGGGGCCAGAGGTGCAGTCGCAGGCAATGATTTACCAGCCTGTGCCCCCGCCCGCAGACCTTTGAGCTGGGCCTGGTGCTGCTCTGCTCTGCGTGGCAATGCTGTCCCTGGGGTCCTGGCTGCCTGCATGGCCGGGGCTGGCGTGGGGCTGGGCGCTGCTGGATGCAGTGCTGCAAGGTGAGGCCACGGGGACATGGGGATGTTGGGGACATTGGAGACACGGTGACACGGCACTGCTTCTTCCTGCAGGGCTGGTGGGGGCCTGCGCCACCTCGGTGCTCTGCAGCCTGCTGAGGGTTTATCTCTTCATCCAGTGCCTGAAGTAAGCTCCCGCCCCGCAGCCACACGGGATCTGATTTTGGGATCCGTGTTAGGGGATCCGCTTTTTGGGGATCTGGTTTTGGGAGGATCCGCTTTTGGGGATCTGCCTTTGGGATCCACCGTGTTTGGAGATCTGCTTTGGGAAGGCTCTGCTATGGAGATCTGCTCTTGGGGATCTGCTTTTGAGTATCCACATTTAGAGATCTGCTTCTGGGTTGGCTACATTTGGCTATCTGCATTTCGGATCCAGCTCTGGGTGATGCACTTTTTGGGTATCCGTTTGGGGGGATCCACATTTGGTGATCCAATTTTGTGTTATCTGCCTTTGGGATCCAGTTTTTGGGTAGCCTCTTATGGAGGATCTGCTTTTGGGGATCCCCTCTTGGGGGATCCACTTTGGCTTTCCCCTTTTGGGGACTGTGCTTTTGGGAATCCTCTTTTGAGATCCCCTTTGGGGGTCTACTCTTGGCCACCCACTTTTTGGGATCAGCTTTTAGCTATCTTCGTTTGGGGATCCCCATTTTGGATGCTCTCCTTTTTGGATCCCCACTCTTTGGTTATCCACTTTGGGGTTCCCCCTTTGGGTATTCATTTTTGAGGGATCTGCTTTTGGGATCCCCTTCGGGGTCTGCGTTTGGTCTCCATCCAGCACCCCCAGGTGTTGCTGCGGGCAGGGAGGTGACCCCATCCTGCTGTACCCCGCTGTCCCCAGCGACCCGGCGCGGCAGGACCTGCGGGTGGCCCTCGGGGCGCGGCGGTTGGTGCTGGAGCCGCTGCACATGCTGGTGCTGACGGGCATCCTGGCGCTGGTGGGCTCCCGCGTGGCCGCGCTGGTGGTGCTGGAATTCTCCCTGCGTGCCATCTCCACCCTCCTCTCCCTCAGCAAGGTGAGTGGGGACAGGGAAACCGAGGTGTGGTGATGGGCGACTCACACATCCTCCTGACGCTTGCATGATAGTGCTGGTGCTTTGCAACACCCATGCTGAGGACAAGAGATGCAGCATGGAGGAAAGTATGCATGGAGGAAAGTATGCATGGCGGTACAACGGTGCATGGCTTGGCAGTGGTGTGTGGCTTTGCAGTGGTACGTGGTGTTGCGATGGTGCATCCCCTTGCTGCTTTGCACCCTCTCCTGATGCAGCTCCTGACGGCTCCGTCCCACTCCCGCAGGGTGCCCACAGCATCCACCTGCTCGTGCTGTGCCAGTTCTCACTGGGCTGCGGGCTGTCCTGCGGCCTCAGCTTCCTGCTGGAGGGAGCTCCCCATGCAACCTGCAACCTGGTGCTGGCGGCAGGGCTGGCGGGGCTGCTGGCCGTGCACGCCCGCCGCTTGGCTCTACACACCTGCATCCTGTATGAGCTGCACAGCCAGCAACGGTACTGCGGTGTCTGCATGCTGCTGCTCACCTCTGGGCACGGCGTGCCCCGGCTGCTGCGCAAGGCTCTGGTTGTCGCCTTCGTCGTGGCTGACCTGGCCGCCATCGCGCTCATCAATCGTGATTTCCTCTCGACGGCGGAGGCTGTCCGCTTCTGGACGCCGCTCACTATCTGCTACACGCTGCTCATCGTTTACATGCAAGGTGAGAGGGTGATGAAGGGCTGTAAGGACATGGAACGTTTGGGGAAAACGTTTTGGAGATGACCCGACCAGGAGGTCATAGCCCCGTGGTTTCTGTCTGCAAATGGGACATCATTTGGATCCCCGGGTTCTGGAGGTGACACGTTCTGGAGGTCACACGTGTTCCTCCCAAATTTTTAGGATGACGCAGCCAAGGTGACATTTCTCCAAATGTTGGCTTTGCAAAAGGGTCCCCAAAGATTTTAGGGGTGACTCAAAAAGATCATTAGGCCATCCCCAAAGTTTGGGGGATCAAAACCAGGAGGAAATTTTCCCACACAGTGGCTTTGCAATGGGGACCTTGAATACTGTGAGGATAACCCAACCAGGAGTTTGTTTGGGTCCCTCAGATTCTGGGGATGACTCAGCTGTGATGTCATTCGGGTCTCCCAAGCTTTGAGGACGGCTCAGCCAGGATGTCTCCTAGTTGGATGAATTCCACACTCTGCCTGGCTGCAGAGCATGCCGTCCATACGGGCATACCGTGGACGCTGTGTCCCCACAGAGGAGCAGCGGTCAGGCATGGGCAGGCAGTCAGCCTACCAGACAGTGCAGGTGCGCATGGGAGGCCTCTTCATCCTCCTCTTTGCCGTGGGTCGCTGGATAGACATACTTCACGTCTTCTTCTCGCTGCTGGGAGAGCTCTGGTGCCTGCTCCATGCCAGCGTCCTGCTGGAAGTGTGCCGGCAGCAGGTGAGTGCCCCCAGTGCAGCCCTAAGGCCGCAATGAGGATCTGGTGCCCGCCTTTCCATTTCTCTCTCCTCTGTTTCCCATAGGATTTCTCCCAGCAGCATCGACCGACGTCAGGATCATCCTGAGGTGTAAGCAGGGATGAGGAACTCGGAGCAGCTCCCTAAGTCCTCCCTGCTGTGCTGGACAGCTGCTATGGGGACATGGGAACACAGGAGAAGGGGCTCCTGGAAGGTGCTGGATCCCATCCCATTGGATACGTGGATGCTTGTACAGCCCTGACTTTTGAGGCCCCCCTCCCCATGGTTGTGATTGGGCTGGGGGTCATCTCCCTTGTCCTGCTGTGGGATGTGGGATGTAGACAGATGCCCCCATCCTCAGGGGCTGCCAGGCTGCACCACCGAGGTGCACTGAGGGACCCCTGGAGCTTTATAAATCGTGGAAAATAAAAGTGTTTTATTCCCAGCAAATGCCTGGGCAGAGCGAGCTGGGGTCCTGTTGTGTTGGGGTCCGGCTCAGGGACAGTCAGGGCAGAGCTTTCTGGGGGGGTGCATGCTGCAAAGGGGGACAGAGGCAAAGAGGGGTGCCCCCAAGCCCCAAACACTTTTGGCTGTTCTGGAGGGCACCCAGTCCTACGCCAGTGGGTGCAGGGTTTTGGGGAAGGGGGTACAGCAGGAGAGGGGATGGGGCTGGCCAGAGAACCTTGGAGTGTTTGGGGCATCTAGAGATGTATGGAACTGCAGGGGGATCCTGAGGGTGTATGGGGGCACTTGGGGTATCGTGGTGGTGTGGGACGTCGTGGGAGCTCTATAGGGTCACGAAATAACCTAGGGGTGCGTGGGACACCCTCAAGCACACGGTAGAACCCTGAGGGCGTTTGAGGCAGCTGGTGGGGGCTATGGGGCCGCCTGCCGGGGGGGGGCGGGCCGTGGGGCAGGAAAGGGGGAGGAGGAGGAGGGAGGGGAGGGAGGAAGGGGCGGTGATGCCGCGGCTCTGCCCCCCCGCTGCCCCCGCTGCGCCGGGCAGGGCGCGCCCGCGGAGCGCACGGAGGGACCCGCAGCGCTGCCCAGGTAGGAGACAGGACAGACACGGGACAGCGGGCACCACGGGGGACGCGGGGCTGCGGGGCCACCGCTTGGCTGGCAACGCCCCTTCGGAGCAGAGTCCCCACGCTTTCCCCAGGTAGGGGACAGGAGACACCCCCAGGTGCGGGGTTGAGGACATCCCCCGCTGGGACTGGGACACCCCAGTGTGGGACACGGGACTCTGCAGAGGGGGGGATTAAGGCGGCAGAGAACTGTCCTGGGATGGGACAGGGTACCGAGAACCGCCCGCAGGGAGGGGAACGGGGGTCCAATGTAGGGGAGAGGACACTGAGGCCACCGCCACAGTCCCCACAGCGTCCTCTGAGGGCTGGGGGGTGCGTGCGGGATCTGTTGGGGGAGAGGAGAGTGTAGGAGAGCTTTCTCCCACCCCAATTTGGGGAGAGGTGCCCCATAAGCAGCCTCCACCCCATTGATCCCACCCCCTCTGGCACCCTGATTTTGGGGTGTCTCTCACAGAATACCACAGCCCCAGCACAGCACAGCCATAGCCACCCCAAAACAGGAAGGTGCTGTCCTCCTGTTGTGCAGGCACCCCACAAAAAGCAGAGCGCAGACCCCAGAGCTGCCACCCTCCAGCTTTAGCCACCCTCCATCTTTAGCCACCCCGGTGGGCGGCAGTGGGGCAGCAATGGGGCCGCTGGCGGCTGGGCTGCCCCAGCACAAAGAGGAATGCGCCGAGCACATGGTTCACATTAGCCCTGCAGATTGATTTTTTTTTTTCCCCTTTATTTTCCGCGGGGTGCAGGTGAAGGTTTGTGTGCAGGGCGAGGACTGGCAGCGCCGGGACCCGTTTAGGTTCTGCCGGCGGGGAGGGAGGGAGCGCAGCCACTCCGGATTCTCCTTTTTCCTCCCTTTTCTTTGAGTCAGAGGCTGAAGTCAGCAGTGTGCCCGTCCCACAGCGATTTCCCCACTGCACAGGATGTGGGGATGCCCGTGAGCAGGATTTAGGGAAGCAGAGCTGCCCCACGCTGAATACGGAGTGCTGCATGAGACCAGGCAATTCATCACACAGGTATTGTTCTGCAGCACTGCAGGATGGATGCAGCGCTGGATGAAGCCTGGGGGTCCCCGGGAGCTCTTTTGGAGGGGGAAGCAGGGAGGAAGCAGGTCCTGGCTGCTTTTCCCATTGCTGAGCACAGCCCTTTTCCTTCCCGACTGGGGTCAGCCAGGGTCGGGCGCATCCTGCCTGTGCGGTGGCCGCTGTGCTCTTACAATCCCATTTTCCACAGGCAAGGTGGGTTCCTCCCGCTGTTTGATCCCAGGTGGGGTCAGTAAGAGAGGAATAAAAGAGGGTTACAATGCTTGCGAAAGGCTGGGGTTGGTAAGGAATGCTTGGGACAAAATGGGAGATTTTGGGGGCTGCACATGCTGCCCGCAGCCAGGTGCTCTCCGGGTGCCCTCACCCCACCAGGCACGAGGCTGTTTATTGCTGTTTATTGCTGTGACGTGGGGCGGGGATGCCCGTTCCTTATTGCCTATCCAGGAAGGGGAAGAGGAGGCGGGTTGAGGCTGAAGGACAGCGGTAGCCACAGGCACACCGCACTGCTGGGGCGCTGGCATATTTCTTTCTGCTTTCTTCTTTTTTTTTTTCCTTATTTTTTCTTCTCCAAAACCCCAGCCCATGTCCAGCCCGTCTGCTGTTTCTGCGATGCTGCCCAGGAAGGCAGAGAAGAGGATGGCTTCATCTGTCTTCATCACCCTGGCATCCCCACGGAGGGAGGCAGCCCCCAGGGAGCAGCCCCGCACAGGGGTGTCACTGGCTGCCCCCGAGGGCAGCCCTCACCCCCCGATGACCCCGGCACTGCCCAATGGAGGTGAGGAGTGGCTGTGAGGCACCGCGTGTGAGGACAGTTCTGGTGGTATGGAGACACTTTGCAAAAGGATGTAGGTGCCAGTGGAGGGGGGGCGTGTTTTCTGAGGGTCGTTCCCCAAATTCCCACACCCAGTGCAGGATGGATCCTGCCAGTTGCCAGGATAGGGTGATGTTTGCTCTCCATCAGGCCGTGCTTATCAGCGTTTGCTTTTGGGGCTGGTCAGTGGGGAGTGTTGCTGCAAGCTGTCGGGGCATTATTGCACGGGGAGGGCTCAGGATGGGGCTGGCAGCGCTCTCCCAACACACACTGCCTGGCTTCTGCTGCAGAATCCTGCCCTCGCTCCCCAGCAGTGCCATCGTCCCCACCGGCTCTTGTTCTCTCCGAAGCGCCCCAGCCCCTCTCCGCAGAGGCACTGGCTCCAGCTCTGCAGCAACTGGACCTTGCGGCTCCCGCCACGGTGCAGGTCAGGACCATGAGTGTGCCTCAGTTTCCCCATTCTCAAGGGCTTGAATATAATGCGTGTTTTCCTCCTGCTTGCCAGGCTCCTTTTGCCCTCCCTGCTGAACTGAGGCCCCTCCAAGTTTGCCAGGGACAAGCAGACAAGCTGCAGTGGCAGGATGCAAATGGGCATGTGGAGAGGGACAGCTCTCGAGGTAAGCACATGGCCCTGGCTGTGGTGGTCCCCCAGTGGGGCCACCAAGGCAGCTCCCTGCCCTGCTCCCTTCCCACAGACATCTGCGCCTTCTGCCACAAAGCCGTGGGCCCACAGGAGCCAACGGTGGAGGCGATGCGGAAGCAGTACCACGCTGACTGCTTCACCTGCCGGACCTGCCAGCGACGCCTGGCCGGCCAGCGCTACTATCAGAGGGATGGCCGCCCCACCTGCGATGCCTGCTACCAGGTATGGGATGTTGGGGAGGGTGGCATTTCAGGGAGCGATGGCATCTTGGGGAATGATGGCATTCGGAGAGTGGTGGCATCTCTTGGGGAGCGTTGGCATTCAGGGAGCAATGGTATCTCTCATGTCATGTCCTTGCCTGCAGGCCACGCTGGAGAAATGTGCCAAGTGCCAGGGGCTGATCACTGAGCGCATCGTGCGTGCCCTGGGCAAAGGCTTCCACCCCGGATGCTTCGTCTGTGCTGCCTGCGGCCGGGCCATCGGTGCTGAGAGCTTTGCTGTGGACGAGCAGGGCAAGGTGTACTGCGTGGCTGACTTCTACAGGTGGGGCAGTACCAGCAGGGGGGTTCAGCTGATCCCTGTCACCCCGTGGGTCTCACATCATCACCTCCATTTTATCCCACCAAGGAAATTCGCCCCAGTGTGCGGTGCCTGCAAACGCCCCATCATCCCTGACGAGGACACCTACAAGATTGAGTGCCTGGGACGTAGCTTCCACGAGAGCTGCTACCGCTGTGAGGTATGGCCACAAAACTCAAAGTGTTGTCCCAGTGCCTCACAAAGTATATATGGGGTTGGAGGCAGGCACAAAGCATGGGTTGTTGGCGAGGTGAGCAGTACGGTGTACTGCAGGCAGCATGGTGTAGGGCTGCAGGAAAGCCATACACATGGCTGCACTGTTTGCAGAGCTGTGGGACGCCGCTGTCACCGGAGCCGACAGAGGATGGGTGCTACCCTCTGGGCCACCACCTGCTCTGCAAAGCCTGCCATATGTGCCGGCGGAACGAGTCGTCCTGCTGAACTGCAGGCTGTGAGAAGGGCCGTGCCACTGGGATGGACCCACCGAGAGCAGCGGGACCAGCGCGTCATCACCAGAGTGTGCCAGAACCCCAAACCGTGCAGCTCGGCCTCTGCCGGCTGCTCATCGCAAGCAGAAAAAGAGCAGTGGTGGTAGATGAGCTGAGGGTTTGTTCACTTTTCTTTTTTTTTAATCCTTTTTTGAAGCTGGTTTGATTTCTTCAGTGTTTTTCTTCCTTCTCAAGCTTTCTTGGGGTTTTGTTTAAACACTTCTCTCTGTGGCGATGCAGAGAGCAGCACTGATTTAGCTCCTTGTCATTACATAAAACCCCGAGCTAAAAATGCCGTCTCTTTCATCCGCCCGTTTCCTGTGTCCCAAACTTACAGAAGGCAAGTTAAAAAGAGGGAAGAGACCACATTAGGACCTTGTGGGTCACCTCGGGTGGCAGAGGCTGGGCACAGCTTGCTTGGGCTGCTGGCTGATAGCATGGCTGGGATGGGGTGGGATGCAGCGATTTGGCAGATGGGAGAGCAGGAGGTCTGTTCTGGGGCCGGACTGGGGGTTCTGCAGCGTGCCCGGTGTTGATAAAGGATGCGTGCTGTTTCTCTGCTCTGTCTCACAATAGTCCCAGGCCGGCAGAGGGCAGCCAGAGCACAAATTCCTCCAATGGGTGAAAAAACTGCCTGATTTCTGTCTTCTGTATGCAGCAACGCTGGTACTGAGGCTTAGGTTTTGCGTCTTACCCAAGATAATACCACTCCACCAGCAGAAGCTTTCTGACTTTCTTTTGGACTACGGTATGGAAAACAGGAGGAAATGAAAACTTTTCTTTGTGGATCTGTGTGAGCGGTGCCACCTGCTCATTGGTTTTGTTTGAGAATATACTGCGAACCAGACAGACAAAGGGGTTTCCCTTTTAGCCAAAAGCTTTTATAAAGCCACAAATCAAGTGCAGGAAATAACAAGAGTATCTGAGTCAATATTTAATGCTTCCCTGACGAAAGAAAAAAAAAAGGAAGATGTTTAAAAAAAAAAAAAAAGCACCAACAAAGCAGCAGACAAATGTTTCTAGGTCAAGTTGCCTAAAGTCTCCCCAGCACATGCTGTATTTATGAATGAAAGGGTTAATGCATGGGTAACATATGGATTCCTCAAACCAACCCTGCAAATGTTTCCTGCCGTCTCTCCCCATCTACAAAGCCTATTATTCATGTTGGTGATGTGTGTCTGCAGCCATCCATCAGGGCACAGATGGCTGTAAGCTATTTGTAAATAAGGTGCTCGTGTAAAGCTGTGGTGTTTCCTGGAGTTGGGATGGTCACGTATAGAGGCGGCTATGGTCCATGTGGGGACGTGTGCCATGCCAGGAAGTCCTGTGTTTGAAGTCATTCCCAAAGCCTCGCACTCCGTGGGGAAATCCAGACATGGAAAAGTAAAAAAAAAAAAAAGCCAAAAAAGTGGTCTAAAGAGTGCGGGAGTGGGGAAGGGAAGTGCCAGACGGCAGAGCATTTCCCTCTTTTTGTAGTATGGGTATTTTCCAAATGAAATTTTCAGGGAGGATGGAAATAGCGATGCTGAGCATTGGTATAGATGTGTTGTTGCACTGCTGAGCCCTCTGAGCAGCAGCTCTGGGTAGTGAAAGCAGGAAGGGGCTGGGTATTTCCCCGCAGGGTGCTCTGCTGGCACTGGGCTGCGGTGGTTTTTGGCCAGAGGTGGGCAGGGAATGGCTGTTATGGACACAAAGCCTTGGAGGTGATCCTGGCAGGGAGAGGAGCAGGACGAAGTGCAGCTGGAGAGTTCCAAGGGTTGCAGAAGTGGTCGGATTTGATAATTTTTTCCAGGAGCGCAGGATGATGGGGGTGTACAGATAGGGAAGTAAACTGATAAAGGCTGATCCGAGCTGCTTTCTGGGTGGGTAAGGGGAGAAGTATTGTGAGCTGGGGTCTGGGGTGTGTTGCTGAGCCTGGAAAGCACAACCCTGTGTTTTCCTCTGGGTGGACATCAAGAATTGTGCTGTATGTCTGGCCGTATCAAGTCCTGGAGGTCCCGTTCTGCTGCTGAGCATGTAGGCACCAATTGCAACAGCTCAGCCCATCCTTGGGCTCCTCACACCATCACAAGCAATTTTGCAAGGGGAAAAAAGTTTAAAGTCCACCTCCTTACTCAACACCAACATGCCCAGGTCTGCCAGCAAAAACACACAGCACACCCACAGCAATGCAGAGCTCATTCTTTACCACCAGAGGCCTCATAGAGCCCCCCCAGATCACCTGGAGGTGCAAAACCTGCTGAGGTCTTGCGTCGTCTTGCAATGGAGGTGCAAAAGGGCAAGGGGCAGTGCCTGCGCAATGCCCTGAGCTGCTGCAATCAGCCCCTCCTTTCTCGCAATCCCTTTTGGCAGGCCAAGGCGAGCAGGGAGGGCCCTCTCACACAGGCTGGCTGCTCTCCAAGGAGAAGCAAATGCAAATATTTCTTCACTTCGGGCTGGGTGCGGCCTGAGGATAAAATTTCCCTGGTCTTTCCCAGAGAAGGCATCCGACACCATGCCCTGCTCCCAGGAACATGAGAATGTAGGACAAAAAAACCACAAAGGTTATCTTTCTTGCAACTCTAGGGTTGTTAAAAGGAGCTGACAGGCGCGACCGTAATATTTTTAAATCGGCGATCAAGGTTTTTCTTTGTAACAAAAAAGGCCTTTTGCAGGTTTCGCTTGCAAGCTGAAGATGTTGGTGCAGCACAAGCAAGGCTGTAAAGGGAAATGGGTTGGAAATGACCCCATCAGCCGTGAGAAATGTGAAAAGCAGGCGGTGGACTGAGGGAGAGCTGAGCTGGATTCCTGGCGTGCCTTCCCTCTGCCATCACTGCCTCGGAGGTGAAAGCGGCTGGGGAGCGGCGAGCAGGAGCCAGCACTGCAGCGAGATGGGGAAACTGAGGCTGGAGCGGTCGAGAAGGGAGAAGGAGTAATGGCAACAGTGCTTTGGTTTTTTTTTTTAATGGACTTTAGAGCTGGAGGAAACCTTTTTTTTTTTTTTTCACCCCCTTTGGTTGACCTGAGTTAATTGTGAGCATGTCCCAGCTGGCTTGCTGCAGTGTCATCCTTTCTGGCAAAGCATTCGGACCCATTTTTTGCACTTCCCTGCACTCAACACAACCTAAAAGCCAGCAGCTCTCCTGAAATGCGCTCTGCTTCAGGGGGAGGGTTGGAAAGCAGCTGGAATTGTTCTGGGTTAAAAATAAGCGGAGCAGCGCGAGCCCTGAAATTCTCCAGCTTCGTGATTTGGAGCATAGCCAGGATGAAAACAAAAACAGAAAAGAAAAAAAAAAAAAAAAAAAACCCACAATGAAAATAACGCTGTGCTATTGTCCTTTTATCCTGAGATCTGTTTACAGAGGATCCCACAGCAGGACCTGCCTGGATCATCCCCTCCATACGCAGCGTTTATTTTTAACGCAGTGTTTTCCATATGCCAGGAAAAAAATATATATATATATATATCGATGCATCCCGTTATGCAAGCGTTGTTACCAGGCTGCAAATTATATGCTGGGTTATGAAATAAATAAATAAGGCAAAAATAAAAAAAATTAAAAAATCACCCAACCCACCCTATTTCTGAAAATAGACACAAGGGAGCTCTGACAGCATCCATCCCATCAGCAGCGTGGATTACAGCATCCTGCAGCCCTGGTTTTCCAGATGGAATTAAGGATTTTTGCCCAGCTCTGACTTGGAGCAGTTTATTTTCTTCTTTATTTCACTGGGGTGTTGATTGGAGCCCATAGGTGCGTGCTTTATTTAAAAATATTTATATAGAAGAAAGCAGGAGGCGTCCGTCTGTCAGGGAAGCTCACGGACATCAGCAAAGGGTGAGGGGAATATCTTCTGAAATTAAATACGCCCCTTAATTCTGTGTAAGGTCAAACTTTCCCTCACAGATTTCATCTGCTTAATGCGAGTGGCTGCACGCAGTGATGCTGAGGAGACCTGATCCCCTTTTCTCGACCCTGTTTTAAGAACATCACGGAACCTCCTCATTTTGTGGAGGGGGGGGGGAAGAAAAAAATGGAATAAAAAATAAAAGGGGGTTAAAAAATGAGCAAACGGAGGATGTTTTCCTCACAGAAAGGGGAGGGGGAGGCAGGCGGCCGCGCGGCACAGCGCCGCCCGCGGTACTGCAGGGCCCCGCCCGCTGCTCGCTTCACAAAATGGCGCCCGGCGGGGCCGCGCCGAGCGGTGCTGAGGCGACAAAATGGCGGCGGGCGGGCAGCGAGGGAAGGGCCTCAGGGCCCCTCGTTCCCCTCCCGTCCCGTTTTGAGGTGTTTTTCCCCTCGTAGCGTGAAGATTTTGGGGTCGGTGCTGCTCTTTCCGTCCCCTCCACACGCACGCTCCCAGGTGGGTATTTCCATAGCTTGATGCCTCATTCTTTCCCCCCCTCCGCTTTTCTCCTCCGCAGGGGTTGCAGTCTTTGCTGTCCTCACCGCGTGGAAAATGCCAAAAAAACCAAAACAAAACAACACCAAAAAAGCCCTGAACAGCCGAGGACTGAAGGAAGGAACTGCCTCCTCACAGCCACCATTCTGGTAATTAAAAACATACATGTGGTGTGATCAGATGTGGTAATACTGCTAAAAAGAAAAGAAAAGGAAAAAAAAACAAACACAAATCCTGTCACGTCCCAGTGCTCGGTAGAGGCTGCAGCCTCGATACCACGCGTATTTCTTTCCTTTGTTTATTGTTTGTAATGTTTCTTTACCTGTATCCACACCACAGTGTAGCATCGCCCCTCCTTTGTTAAAAGCCTCATGCCTAAAATACCTTTTTTTTTTTCTTTTTAAATACAGATTTAGGGCCGTACAGGTGCTCTTTATTCCCACATGTCTCTATATATCTCCTTATCCCAGAGATGGATTGCAGAACAAAGCCACACACCTACAATGCTATGATCCAATTACACACAATTACTCTCACTTTGGCCCGTACATATCTTGGATTTTATATATTTATTACCTTTGTTTTCCTCCATTGGCTTTCTACTGTCCTAAGAGCAAGAGGGAAAAAAAAAAAAAAAAATTACATGTGCACACCCAAAAGAAAAAAAAAAGACAAAAAAATAATAGTAAGAAAAAGGTAAAAACGAGCAAAAAGCAACCAGCTGCCCATTTGATCAGTCCGTGGTGGAGATTGGTGCCTGAATGCTTTATTTGTTCCACAGAGGTGTAGATTTCCCTTGGGATGTTGGGGAAGGATTTCTTAATGAAAGGTTAAAAAAAAAAAAAAAGTAAAAAATAAAACAGTGAAACAGAACCAAAAAGGAAAATAATATTAATTATTATTAAAAAAAAAAAAAAAAAAAAAGCAGCTGACGCTGCCAATGCAATCGGGCAGGCACTGAATTCATTGCACCGAAATGAGGACGGATGAGCCGAACTGAGTGGCAGGGCTGAGTGCGGCTCCGGGAGGAGGGCTCAGCTCCTTGTCCCACCATCCAGCGCTGCACGCACCACCATTTGTGTGCTTTTGTGCTTTATTTCCAGCCCCGCGGGCTGCCCTACGTGATGCACGGAGCGACGCGCGTGCCCTGGTGCTGCGCATTCCTCTCCCTTTTATTGCCTGCTCTATGGCTCGCTTGTTTTCTCCCCCCTCTGCGGGCAGCAGGGTTGCTCTGCTTTCCTCTCCCCAGCTCGGCTGCCGATTCCAGAAGTTTCTACAGCAGAGGAAATGCACGGGGGAGGGGAGCACCCACTGCGGAGCTTTGCCGCAGCCGGGCAGGCGTGGAGGAGGAGGAGGATGCGGAGGATGCACCACCTCCCTCCCTCTCTCTCTCCCTCCCTCCTTGGTTCAGGACGCTTTCCAAGCCTCTCCCCCTCACTACATTTCCCCATCCTTGCAGAGGGTGCTGGGAGGTGTTTGCAAGTTGGTTTTTTTGTTTGTTTCACCCCCGCCCGCCCGTTTCCCCCCCCGACACACACTCCGTTTCCTCCCCCTTTGCTAAATAAATTAAAAGCAGAGATGTCTCCTGATGGAGATGGATGAGGCTGGGCTCACTTGCACGCACTGTGCCACAGCCCTGATCTGCTGCTTAGGGCAGAAGTGACCTTTCCCAGGCAGTGGGAGGGAGCTTTTCCCCACCCCGATGTTCTGCTGCTTGGAATTCATCTCACATATCAGCTTTATTATTTTTTTATCCCCCCTCCAAAGAACAGCTTGCTGCTTCGGTGATTTTTTTTTATTATTTTTTTTTTATTATTCTCAGCCTGTGTGTTGCAGCTTCCTCATGATCGTTTTGTGTGTGTGTGTGTATGCTTTGAATTGCATTTTAAAATTGCCCAGCTGGAGACAAGTCTTGATTAGAGCTGGAACAATAGCTCCATTTTATTAATAATGGGAAGGATTTACGATCCTACAGCACCTTCCTTGGAAGGCTTTCAAAACCATTTGCAAACTCTCACAAATGTAAGCTTTCACAGCCCTGCCTGTGAGGTGGGTAAGTATTTCCACGGTGCCACCAAACATCAGGGAGAGCTGGAGTCGGTGTGTGCTAAAATAACGGCAGATCCGGTGGGTTTCAGGGCTGCAAAGCTGGGAGGAGGGAGGCTGGTAAAAGCTGTAACCTAAATCTGTTTGGTGTTGTCTGTAGATGCAGATATTTGTCTTTGTCCTGGGAACCAGGCTGCTATTTCTCAGCCTGCTGTGCTCCTCCTTGCTTTTTGCAGAGCGAAGATTTGGACTTGCCTGCTTGTCAGTAAACATCTGCATATGGATTTATTTATTTTTTTTTTAATTCATTACTTCTTTGTAGTCCCCAGGTGACCTCCTTTAGTGCTGGCTGCGCTGCGGTCTGACCACAGCTTTGCATTAAAGCAGGCTGCGAGCACTAATGTGTCTCCATGCAAGTCCACGTGACCTTGCTCAGGGGACAGGGCCCACTGAGCTAATGCAGATGCTCCACTTCAATTACACAACCCTGCATCCCCTCCCTGACCCAAGTAGTGTAGGGGAATGTTGCAATGTTATGGGTGAAAGCTGTCTTCTGCCCTAATTTTTATTTTTATTTTTTTCCTCCCAGGGAAATGCAGGATTGTTTGTGTAACTCCCACTCTGCAGCAGATAGCTTCTCTGTGAGTATTGTAAACATGCAGCAAGCTGGGCAGTGGGAGCTGGCCTTGCTGAGGAGGGTAAGGCACAGTGCTCTGGTTGTGTGAGTGCTGTGCACCGCCACAGAAAGCCACAATGTTTCTGTGGTTACTTCTGGAGGGCATGAGCAGGTCCCAGGGCTTCCCCTTCCCACCCTGTACTGTTTCACAAAAGAAAAGGCTGCTGCTTCTGGAAGAAGCTCTGCCTTGTGGCCTTATTATTAAAAAAAAAAAAAAAAAAAAAAAAGGCTGTGGATTAGTCATCATTATAGTTAAAGGAGGCTGCATGTGCTGGTGTGTGTGTGATGTTAAGCAGTAGTTTATTTGGGAGGGCTGGTAATGTGCTCGGGTCGCTGCTCCTGGAGCAGTGCCACCAGGCTCCATCAAGCTGCTGCTGGCAGGTGGAAAAGCTGACGGGCTGGCTGTTGTTCCCCTTCCATCCCTTTTCCCTTTTCAGTATCTCTGCACTGGCAGGTGTGGAAAGGAGGAGACCGAAACAACAGCGAGGAGGACAGGCAAGGTTCCAATGCCAGAGAATAAACTGTGCTTTTTTATCCTTGCTCGTGGTAGCTTTTATTCTAAGCACAACTGACTGTGTCTTGTGAGAAGACGTAGTTTGACCCTTTTGGATGATAAAAACAGTACTGGTTTTAATCGTTTATTTTTATCCCTTTCCTGTGGTCATGTAGAGGAGCGAGTTGTGCAATTAAAACAGGATAGCAAAGGACAGCTCCCTCCCCCTTTCCCGTTTCAAAAAAACCTTCCAGAGTTGTGTGTTCTTGAATTGCTGCATAGGCAGAAAGCATACAATGCAGTTGTCAGCATTGTGCTGATGTGTGGCACATTAAAAAAAAAAAAAAAAAAAATACACACAAAAGGGGTGGGGAGAGCGGGTGCCTCCAGGGAGTAAAACTGTGGGGCCCCTTTCCCTACCAGCAAACAGACCTACACGCAATAGTTTATTACTTCTCATTTTGCTCAGGCAAATGTAATGCACAGACATCAGAGGGAGCGTTGCAACGTGCTAAATGGTGTTGCTGAAGATCAGGGTCCCCTTGAACTATTTTTCCTGTGAGCTTGCTCCCATGAGATGCCACAGCTTTATTACTCAATTCCTCAAAGTTGTGCTTACTTGCCAGAAGGAAGGAGAATGCTTCCTTTCTGGGTGTAATTTCTTTTGTTGTGGCAGAAGGTAATCAAAAGCAGCTGGTTTTGATCTCTCCTAGATCACCATGACTTCAAAATGCACAGTCCAAGCAGTGGGCAAGGAGAGCAGGTATTGGCACCTCCTCATTAGCCTTCATCAATGAGAATATTGGGCTTTGGTGTTGTGTGAGTGCCGCTGGCTGACCAGTGGAGGGGCCCTACCCTGCTAAGCTGGAGTAACACTTTCTGAGCAGTGATTTCATTGCCTGGTTGCTGCAGTGATTTGGAGCACAGCTGTGACTTTATGTTTTTCTGGCAAAAATTTAGCTGAGGGTAAGTATGAGATGTCCAGGCCAGATTTCAAAGTGAGATGGAGAGCTGGGAGAAGCTGATGCATGATGTATGTGAAAACTGCCAATTGCTTGTGATCCTAAAAAGGCTCATCTGTGTTTGAATTAAACGAGCCTGAAAAGGACATTCATTTTTTTTCCTCTTGTTAGGGATGTATTTGGAGATATGCCTGGTGCTGATTGGGGGCCTCTGCTGGCCTGCAGGTACAGGGGACCAACAAACTGTTTGGGATGCTTTCATGTTTTTCAGGTCACGATACCCTGATACCCCGTAGGAATTGTGCTACTTTTCTCTGGCAGTTTGGGATAACTGTTTCCTTGGGAGTGTTGGACTTCTATCACTGCATGCTTTGGATTGAAGAGTTACCAGAATGACATCTGTGAGGTTTCCAAGCTAAACAAAACCTGAATTTCTAGTGCAAAAAGCAAGTGAGTGATAGAAACCTCTGCTCCTCTTCCTTATGGGCGGAACTGCAGCCTTTTAAGCTTTCCTATTACACCAAAGAGGTAGAAAAAGCATAAGCGTGCATTGTGAGTTCTGCAGTGCTATTGGTGACGTAAAGTGAAAGCCAAAGCTAGCTAAGAAACTGTTCTCCTTTTCAATACAGTAGGTCTCCATGCACAAGTACTTTTCTTCTTTGCCTTTCCCTGAAGTGAGAGAGCAGTAGCACAAGTGTGCATTCAGTCTGCTTCACTTAGAACACAGTGATGCGACTTCAATGCCAACATGGTGAATCAAAAGCACTGAAGATAGCTGGCTTGCTATTTATTTTGCTCTGGGTGTGACAATCAGATGTGATTGGGAATGTGAAGAAGAGCAGCTTTCAACTCACAGGGTTGCACTGTTTTAAACCTTTGTCCTGGAACATCTCCAGCCAGATTTCTGTCATTCCTGCTGGGCGTTGCATGTGAGGCTTTTCATGGAGAGGTAATGCACTGCAACTGTGTGTTAAACATGGCAACATACAGGATACAGAGTGATCTCTCCAGTCCTAGGAGGTTTGTATCCTTTGCAGTAGTCAAACCAGGTGGGTTTCATTTTTTTTCCTCCTTTCATCTTATTCCCCTGAAACGTTCTGTTTTGCAGCCTGGAAGACAGAAGCCCTCTGCCTAGGGGATGAAATGCTTCACATTTGGAAAAAACTAGCAGGTACAGCACTTCAGGATGTGGTTGCAGAGATGTTTGGGGGCAAAAGGAACCAGTGCAGAAGCTGGCACTGTAATGTTTCTATTATTTTCCTAACAGTGGGTGAAAAACTAGGTATTAATTCAAAAAAATTCTACTATGCAGTAAGCAAGAGTGAGTTCTTTTGCAGTCTCTGACTGCACATAGTGCTTTGCTTGCATGGCTTAGCAATTGCTCTGTGCTCTGCTGTTGAAGAAACATCTATTTTTGGGTAGCAACGTATTTTGAAAAAGGAAGTGTGCTTTTATATATATATATATATATACACACACACACAAATGGGTTCAGCATAAATCAAATTCCAGGGGCTCCTGAGCTGTGCTTGCTGTGCTGCAGAAGGTAGCTGATGCTCAGCCATTGGCCACAGTGGCATTATTTTGCAGCAGCTCTCATCCCCTGTGTTGTGTGGATGAGAACACCGTGGAGTCTGGCTGGGAGCAGTGCTTGAAAAGAACTCAGAGAATCCTGGTACAGCTGATGCAGTGACTCAAAGGGATGCTCTGGACAGAGTTAACACGTCGTGAAGACTTGGAGCGCTACCCTGTAAGAGGCAAGGACTGAAATCAATAGCTTTATTAATTCAAATCCTATACTTTGTGTTGTTGCTTAGGATTCAGAATCAGGCTTCACGTTCAAAGCGTTATCAGCACATTAGCCACTATCCTCTGTCTTGGCAACACATGAGCCCAAATATCAAAAAGCACCGATTCCTTTTTGGAGAAAATTATCCATTGCATAAAACGTAATGGGTATGCAATAAAATTAGCACAGCAATTCAGGCTGGCTTAAAAAATGAGATAAAAGCTTGGCTGGCAATTTGATATTCAGCTGCCATACTGTTGTGTTAATAAATATAGTCAATGAGCAGGAAAGACATGTCAATAAAATGCCTCATGGCAAGATGTTGGTGGAGCTGACCGGCTCGAACAAAGCAGAGCCCTGAGTGTCTGAGAGCTCTTGTCTGAGCAACACACCATTTCTCTGCACAAAGCAAAGCAAGCTGGATGCTTACTGGACACTGAGGGTAATCGCTGCGTGCTGTGAATGCGAGCGCTGTAATCGGTGCAGGTCTGGTCAGTGTGGTGTCCCCAGCTGTGGGGAGCAGAGTAATGCCTCCCGCCCCACTCTCCAGCTGCAATGCTGTGAGCTCACAAAGCAGAGCCAGGGCTGATTGTAGGGAGTTATGGTTTTAGCAAACAGTCCTTGTTGCTGTCCTTGTTCCATATCTAATCTTTTATTTTTTAGCAAGCTCCACCACTTGGGGTAAGATACTGGGTTAGAAATGTTATGAACATTGTGTTACATGTTAAAAATGTATGAGCAGAGCTGTTGGCTTGCTCTGTAAAGTGCCTTTCTATTTATCCACGTTTGCTGCTAGATGGTAGGCTGCCTCTGGCTGTTGCCTTTGCTTTTGGTATGAACCCCAAGGATGTTTTCTGATCCTCCTGCCCTTTTTTCCTCCAAACTGGAGAGCTGCTAACTTTATTAGCTCCTTATATGGCAGCACTGTTTTTCTCACGCCTTTAATGGCTCTCTTTTGATCTGTCCTGCTCCTGCTTTGCTTTTCTTGATGTGAACACAGTGTGCAAGCTGAGATGGGTTTATAACCTGCTCCCTCATTAATATCTGGTCTGGCATGTTAATCCTCTCCAAGTGGTGATAAGAAACATGCAGATGTTTTAACAGTGTTTGGCCACAGTGCCTGCAGATAGCTGGGTTCTCACTGTACTCACTGTGTGGACGAGCAATTAAACAGTGCCCTGCAGAGCCCTGGGCTCTGCCCTAGCGTGTGCTGGTGGATGAGAGATGCTGGATGATGGAGAGCAGCTGGACGGAGTCTCCTGTTCTGGGCTGTTTGAGTAGGAGGGCTGCAGGATCAAGTGCTGACCTTTGATGCTTGCTCCCAAGCTTGTTGCCAGCAGGCTGCACACAGGTCCTTGTGCAGTGACCAGGATGACACCAGTTGCTGTTACCTTCTTTACTGAGGTCCCTTTGGCCTTCTGAGATGCAGGTCACACTCTCTGCAATCTGTGTTCTTTAAAGTCTTCAGATGAGTGAGAGGGATCTGGTTACAGCAGCATTGCCCAAGCGCGGCTGTGCGTTGCAACTGGGAACAGCTTCCCCCCAAAGCACACTAAGAGCATTGGAATGATCCAGAGCTTCGTTCTGCATCATGGGCCAGACTATGCGCTCCTTTTCCAGCTGGCTTTCATGTAAACAGAACATTTTAAGTACTAATTTCAACCGTTTCTTCTGTCTGCAGGTTTTCTTTTGTCTGCAGCTGTCTGTGACAGCTCCTTGACTGCGGATGTCCTTCCAGCCAGGCTGCCTGCAGTGTGACAGCAGTGACCCTGCATGAGGTTTCTTTGAAGGACGTGGGAGACCGTGTGGTTTTTTTTTTTAGTCCCTCAGAGGTGCTTCCCTGGCAGGGAGGGAGGAAAATGTTTGGAAATGCTGTCATAGGAGGCATGCTTACCTGGCTAGGGGAAAACTTGGTGTGGAAAAGCCAGCTGGCACACGGGTTGGGGAAGGAGAGGTTCCTTTCTCTCCAAAATGGAATCCCTTAAGGAAGGTACCAGTAGTTACTGCTCTTGGGGTTTCTGACCCATTAAATCAAAAAGCTGAGCCCATTTCCATGGAGAAATGTGTGGTAGAGTGCACTGCAATGCTTTTCCTTGTGTGTGTGTGGCTTGGTCGCACGCTTTACTAAAAGATGGTTTGCATGCAAGAGGTTATTCCTTTTTTATTTTTAATCAGTCCATTTCCATTCAGCAGAGCAGCTTCACACCCACCATCACGGGGGAAACTGAGGCACGGGACCTCTGTGGGATTAGAGGCAGAGCTGGGGATAAGGCTCAGGTTTGCCGAGGCTCAGGCTGACGTGCGTCAGAGGGCTGCTTACATGGAGAGATTTGCAAAGCGAAGTGACCTACAGCCCCACGGCTGGGACTGCTGCTGGACCCGATCCTTATGGGCGCCTTCCAACTCAAACCGCAGTTTGGTCAGGGGAAGAATTTGGCAGCACGGTGCCCATGGTGAGATTTGGTGAGCTCCTCCAGTGCCAGAGCCTGGCCCACAGCCAGCCCGCGGGGTTCATATGGCACTGAACTTTGGAGCCATTAGAGATAAACAGCGCTATAGGCTAATAAAAGGCTCTGCATCACAGGGCCCTCGTCTGCCCGCACCACAATTAATTTTTTACTTGCTGATTGCAGTGAAGGGAGAGTGCTGGGTCTGCCCTGTGCTGGGTTTGCCTTCTCCTGGGTTTGGATGGTGAGGAGCGGGCAGAACCTCGATGCCTTTTGCCCTGCGCCCCATTTCTGCACGGCAGCCCTTTACCTTTCACACCACATCCCATTTTTTCCCCACTCATTTGGTATCGCAGCCCCACTTTTTTTTGCAACAGCCCCCCTTTATTTCTTTGTGCTGCACGTCTTATTTATTTAGTTTTTTTTGCAATCCCTTCGGCTGCATTCACTCCTCACCTCGCATCGCAGCCCCGGTCTTTGCATCCCTTATTTTCCACAACCCACCTCGTGCATTTATCACTTTCCGTCGCAGCTCCCGTTTATCGGCTCGCACTTCCAATTTTTTTTTTTTTTTTTTTTTTGGATTTTTTGCAATAAAACCCCTCCGTCACGTCGCATCGCACCGCGCTCCTCCCGTTTTCCCTGCGCTCCCCGCGCATGCGCACTCCCCCTCCCTCCCGCGGGGCGTTGCGCGCTCGCGCCCCTCCCTCCTCCCCGGGGCCGCGCGCCTGAGCGCGCACTGCGCCTGCGCGGGGGCCCCCGTGTGGCGCCGCGAGAGGAGGGGGGGGGGCGAGCGGGCCCGAGGCGGCGGAGCAGCGAAGGGCGCGGAGGAGGAGGAGGAGGAGGAGGAGGAGGAGGAGAGGGGGGGGCGCCGCGCTGCCGCTGACGGAGGAGGAGGAGGCAGCGAGCGAGCCACGGCCGAGGCGGGGGGAGGCACCGAGGAAGAAAAGCGGCCGAGGGGCAGCCCGCCGCCCCGCAGCCGGCCCGCGAGCCTCGGGGCCCCCCCGCGGGGGATGGTGTGGTCCGCCGGGGCCGCCGCCGCGGGGGGAGGCAGCCGGCGGCGCTGAGGGCGGCGGGGCCCCGCGGCGGAAGAGGCGGCGGAGGAGGAGGCGGCGGCGGCGGCGGCGGCGCAGCGCGGGGGGCGGCGGTGGAGGCCGGGAGCCGGGGCAGGGGGCTCGCCCCGCGGCGCGCAGCATGGTGCGGGAAACCAGGCACCTGTGGGTGGGCAACCTGCCGGAGAACGTGCGGGAGGAGAAGATCATCGAGCACTTCAAGCGGTGAGTGGGGCGGCGACGGCGGGCGGGAGGGGTCCGGCGGGCGGGGGGAACCGAGGCAGCCGCGCGGGGAGCGCGGAGCCGTCCGCGGCGGCGCTCGGCGATCCGCGCCGGGAGCCCCGAACCGCGCCGCCCTCGGCGCCGCCCGGAGCCTCGCTCCGCATCGCGGCCCGCCGAGCGCCCGCACCGGGACGGCGGCGCCGCCGCGCGCGGCTTCGGCCGCTGGGGGCTGAGCGCGGGGCGCTGACCGCCTCCGGAGCTCCGCCGCTCCGCCGCTCCGCGCCGCGTCCTTCGTCGTGAGTCACCATGGGAAAAATAGACGCGAGCCGCGCCGCGCCGCGCTGACAGATGGCGGCCCGGGCCGCGCTGCCGTGGGATGCCCGCGGGGCCGCTGCCCGAGCGCGGCTGCCTCCAGCCAGGCCCTAAAATGGCGGCGGGGCCCGGGACGGGCCGTGCGTGCGGCCGGGGCTCCCCGGGACGGGCCGTGCGTGCGGACGGAGCTCCGAGCCCGCGGCGTGCGGCGGAACGCGGCGCGGAACGCTTCGGGCTTTGCGCGATTCCGAGCGCGGCGAGCTGAACGCGAGCGGGAATTCGACGTTCCCGAGTCTTATTTTTGTCCAGCCCTCCGCTTTTGTAAGGTTAAAGCAGGAAAAAGTTGCTATGGCACTGTTGCTTGGAGATGGATGTGAAAAAATGGCAGGCTAGGAATTGTGAATTCTCCCCCCCTCCCCTTTTTTTTTTTTTTTCCTTTTTTTTTCTTTTTTTTTTTCGGTTGTTTTTACCTCTGCGAGTTTCGATTGGCGGCTGCAGGAGGAGGTTTGCTGCCAGGCAGAGCCCTCCATTCCCAGCATCTCTCGACGCTTTTCCAAAGATAAACGTTTCTCAGCGTTCATGCGTTGGGAGAGAGGCTGACGTTACACGAGTAAACACGGGGCTAAAATCCATTCCATACGGCTGGGTCCGGGTGCAGGGACCCGCAGGTAATGGGCAGCCGCAGGTACAGCCGCACAAAGCAGCCGGGCTCTTTGTGTGCTGACGGCCGCGACGTGGAAGCAGCAGCAGAGAGAGGCTGTGGAGCGGAGGCTGTGAGCCGTGCTGCGGGCACGGTGCTGCTGCCAGCCTTCCCCTGCCTGGATGCGCTCCTCGGGTTTGGCACGGCGTGGCCGGGGAGCAGCGCTGCCCCCTGAGCTCTGTGCTACCCGCGGGGCTGCTTGTGTTCCCACTCAGCTGCAGTTTCCGTATCTGCTGCTGCACAGGCTGTGCTTGGAGCAAGTTTGAAACACAACCATTTTGTTTCGGTAGGAGCAAAACCCAGGGGTGTCTCCTGAAACTTCAGTCCATGCGCTCAGTGTGGGGGGGTGCTGTTTTATTTCTTCTTCCTGCTCTCATCCCGTTCCGTTTACTCCCGTTTGCTCTGGGAACCTTGCTTGGCTTTGCCATCTTAGGACTGTTTTTTTTTTTTGTTTTTTTTTTTTTAGAGAGAAGGAATTAAGGTGAAAAAGGTGTTTTGAGGGAATGAATACATTTCTTTTTTGTCTTAATAGTCAGAGGGGTTAAGAAGAGGGATTTTGTCTGTATTGTAACAAACTGAAATCCAGGCTTTTGTTTTGTTCTCACCGGCTGTGCTGCCTTCTGAAAGACTTCATTCTAAGGCTCTGTATTTTCTTTCAGTGAGTTCCTAAGGCGTCCCTGAACACGAAAGCAATGGGTGTTGATGCACAGCAAACCCCAAACTGGCATTGGGGTGCAGGGAAGCAGTGGCTGCAATCACTTTGGGTTCCCCCAGCTAACGGTGCCGTGACTCGCAGGAGAAGAGTCATCCACCATCACTGAAACAGATGCTCAGCAGCCTGCAGAACAGCACAACTAAGCATAGTAGTGTTTGTCCCCAGCATTAGTGCTGGCCTTCTGTAGTTTCTTTCCCCGTGTTTTCTCCCGGTTAACCTGGCTTTGTCCCTTTATTGCTGTTTCAAAGGGTGAGAGGAGTAAAAGCCTCTTAATTGCAAGCCGTGTGATTTTGGTATGCCATCGTGCCTTCTGTGGGAGAATTAAGACGTTCAGAGTGGCAACCAGGACTGTGAGACACCTTGGATTTCAGGAGCAGACGTTCTCCTTCAAAATTACTGCCATTACGTTGCAAACCAGAGCTCTCTTGGAACAGATAAATAGCTGTCAGCGTTTCCTTCTGGGAAAGCAGAGGGCTTTGTCCACCATGGTCCCTGCTCTGAGGCACGCAGGCTGCCTTCTACAGTGTGTTGTGTTGTCAGTGCTGCTCTGAGGAGCAAGATCTGGCCATAATGGACAGTCTGTGTTTCTTTCAGTGGCTTCCAAGCAGCAGTCGGTCAGTTTACAAGAAATGTTGTGTCTGGTGGCTGGGAGTGAGGACACGGCCTGGGAGCACCTCCTGCTCCTGCCCTGTGCAGCACTGCTGAGAGTGGTGATGGAATGGTAGCACTGTGCTGGGCACAACTGCAGGATGGCTGCTGCAGAACGTTCCCAAGCTTTTAGTGCTTATAATCTAGTTATGGTTGTTGGGCATCACTTGAGATGCAAACACGTGGGTAGTTGTCCTAAATCAGCTTTGCATGTAGAGATCCCTGTTCAGTTGTGACATTTATCTGGGGAAGAGGCTGAGGTATGGATACAGAACGTCCCATTCCTGGCTTTTTTCTGTCAGGTGTTCACTGTTGAGGTGACAGTACTTCACAGCACAGCTCAGAGCCTTTGGAGGGAAGGTGGGATTTCTGCTTGTGCTTTGCTGAGGGCCTGGGCTACTGGGCAGCATTGAGGCCTGGTTACGCCGTGTTCAACCAGCCCCTGGAGTAAGAGATGTTGGTTTTGAGGAATGTAAGCATGATTCCTCAGTGCTGTGAGAGTCACTGCTCCTCAGGCTGCCCCATGCTCAGTTTTTTGCACACACTGGAGTGAGGTGGCAGCTTGGTGACGCCGCGCTGGCCGGGGAAATGCCTGTAATTACTGCAGAGAAACTTAATGAAGAGCTGCACGAAGCGCAGATTTGGACTAAGCTTCTGTTATAAGTTTCTTTATGCTGGGCCGTGCTTGAAAGATAAGTGGATGGGTCACTTGGCTACAAAATTCTGCTGTCTGCTGAGCCTTTCCAGCATTGTTTGTTCGCTGAGGTTCCTTCAGAGGTCCAGCCTACATTCATTTGTGATGTGAGGAAAGCGGCTTCTGTTATCTCTGAAATACCGCTCTGAAGTTTCGCTGGCTTCTGGTGTTTCTTGTAATTGCTCTAAATTCCCTTGGTACAACGCTGAAGTAATCCTAATGCCATTTCAGATGGATTGCCTCTCGCCTGTCT